TTCTATAAATTTATATTAAGTTCTGACATACATCTTGTACAACAGACGTGCATACTCAGTGTGAAGACAGCAATTCTAAGGAAGAGAAGTCTCGTGAGACCTTAGACCACTGTGCTGAGTCCTTAGAGATCCTGGAAGAAAAAGCACCACAGTGGGTAGGTGATGCTAACACTCAGGAAAAAAGCACTTAAGTGGTGCTAAGAGAATTGCAGGTGTACAGGAGAATTAGGGGATACCAGCTTGAAATTGTTTTCTGTTCACTCTCTTATGGGAGACTGCATTCCACATTATTCTTTCCAGGAGTGTCTTGCACCACAAAAAAAACAGAATTATATAAAATTTCTCATTATGTCTGCTTAATTAGGCAGAGGAGTTCCTAAATTTATCAAAACATAAGCACAGTCTGACATTTTGATTGCAAACCCCTTCAAACACTCAACCCTCAAGTAAGTCCTGTTTGCACTGAGACTGCAGCAAGATACAAAAATGCAGTTACTTGCTCCAAAACACCTCAACCTTTCCTTTTTGTCTTGACTGTGGCTTTGCTGGAGTCCTCCATCAGCCCTTCTGAGCAGTGTTGGAATCAATCAGCTCTAAAGGAGTGTTTGAGGCTAAAGGAGTGTTCCCCAGGTCTCAGCAGGGGCGGTGGTGTGGGTACAGCTTCCTCCTTCTGGGCACCCTGTGCACAAAGCCTTAGCCCAGATTGTCTCCTGTGGCTGGCAAATACAGAAAGCTACAGCAAGTTTGTCTGCTACAGCAAGTGAGCAGAGGTCTGCTACTATAATGAGTTGCATGTGCAAGCCCCCAAGCCCTCACTGAGGGAACATTAATTACACATTGTGAGAAATCAGCCAGCAAACTAGGAGATGAGAAACTGGGGCTCGCTGCCATCCTGCTCTTGTGGGGTCACCTCCATGCAGGATTGTGGGAGAAAACATCCCATTTCCTCAGGCCAGGCTGGGATGCCTCCTGCAAGAGGAAGCAGACAGTGCCTCTTGCTTGGCTGACCCAAGGCCAAGGGAGCAGTGCAGGTGCACAAGGCAGGAGGAGGGAGCAGGCAAGATCAGGGATACCACTGAGCACCCAAAGGCCAGTGGGCAACAAAGAGGGGCTGATTCAGTGACCCTGCCTGGATGAAAAAAAATTCCCAATTTAAAAAATCAGGGTAAGAAAAGTGCTGATGGGCATGTAATCCTATGTCTGTAGGTATTAAATGCATTTAATTTACAGTACCTTGGCAACAAAACTGTTGAAGCACATGATGTGCAAAGGAACCACGTTTTTAATATAGGTATCATCAAATCCTTAGTTTCACTGAATGAAAATGCTTCACTTTGCAACCTCACTCTGGTACTCCCCTCTTGTCAGTCCTACAGTAGTCCTACAGTACCCATAGGAAGGAGCTACTTCTCCTATAGCTTTTTTTACTTTTATTGGAGACTACCAGACCTAGTGGGTAGCTGGAGGCGGTGTGACAGCTCCAAATATCTTGAATCCAATTAAACTGAAGATTAAACAATTTTTTTCATTCCAATGCATTATCCTTTTTATAACTCCATGCACTGCAGAGCATCCAGTTCATTATGTGTAACCATCAAAGGAAAAACAAGTCTGGAACTAGCAGACTTTTCCCACAGATGAAATTGTATTCTCACATACTAAAACAACCAACATGAAATATTTTGCTATTTGTCATCAAGAGATCCAAAAATTTCTCCAAGGTACAGCAATTTCACTTCTCAGATTTACTGCCCAAGCCTCTCTTCAGATTCATTATTTCCCCACCATTGAGAGAGTATGTTTACAAAGCCAGGTTGTTTGTATTTCCCTCTCTCCCCAACAGCAAAAGATAGCAAATTTAATAACACTGCAAGCTAGAAATCTGCTCTGTGGCAAAGCTGAGCCTCAGTCCAAGAGAACAATCCATCTGCTGTACTGTAAACATGGCAAAGAAAAAAATACCAGTTTCATCTCTTCTCCCCTTACACGCTGGATTTTTCATTTAATAGACAAAATGCAGGTACAGAAAATACTATGCTTTACTGAGTCCGTACAATGAACAACCTTAACTCTTCTGGTAACTTAAAAAGATAACAGGACTCCACATTGTCACCATCAGTATACACATTCCAGAATGTTTTTAGACATGCTTGGGGACATGACTGCAGATGAAGCATTTCACACCTCTCGGGGTCCTTCAGGGCTGCTCCTCATCAGCCAGGCTGGCCGCTCTGCTTGCTGTAAAGAACAACTCACACCTTCCTGCTGCTCTAGCCAGCAGAAAAACAATTGGTCAGGAAGAAAAGGAGTAAGCTACACTCATTTCAGGAGAGATTTGAATAGTTTATTTTGCCCAATCAAGAGCCCTTCAGCATAATGACACATTCATATACACATATATGAACATTTTTTTCTGAAACATTAATGTATAATACATTTTAAATTTAAAATACCAGCTGCACAGGTATTTTTATTTACAAAAATATTCCATACTTAATTTTTTAACTTCATTATGATGACATAGTTCAGTCCAAGTACATGTAAGTAAAATAACTCTATGCAATCTAACATAGTTGAGTTTGTAACAGTACAGTTTGCAGTTCATATGAAACTATATCTGTAGACAGATGGATTTGCAACCCTACCTAAAAATGCATATTCCAGTAATCATCCTCAGAAGAGCTAGTGGGGCTCAGCAAGACTTAACTGAAGAATAAGTTGCAATGAACATAAGGGAAAAAGAAAACACACATGTACACACTAACATATACAGAAACGAGAACTGCTACACATCAAGCATGCTTACCCAGGAGTGGGCAATGTTAGAAAAATTTACGGATGTATTTTTTCCCCCATGGTGCTGGTACAATGAAACAGCAGCATAACTAGAAAGCAGCATGTTTTCCTAGTTCTAACCACTACAGATAGCAGAGCTCAGGTCTAAAATAACACAGTACTGCTTATTTACAATTCTGTTTTAAAAGGGAATATTTAAAACATGTTCCCACCCTTCTCCCTTTCCATCACCTATGATTGAATGGTAGTGGTAATCCACATACAACTTCTTAAATGTTTTCAACTGAAACAGTTTAACTTCTAGTTATTTGCCTGGTTAATATGGAACTTAGGTACTAACAGAAAAATACAAGTGTCAAAGTAACCTACAGCTGTAGGTTAGCTTAAACATTTCTAGGCGCACATGGAACTTCTAAAAGAAATACTGATTGACATCTTCCATTTGATTGTTTGGTGTTTCTGCCTCATTTCTCTTCCTTTTTTTCCACTTTTAAAAAATTAATGCCTACATCTTTAAGTCTAATCTGTATAAGGTGGAAAAGAACCCAGAAACAGTGCACACATCGGATTTGAAACAGTAATAAGGTAGATATATAGCACATCTTTATAATGGGCTTAAGAAGAAATCGGCCCAAATCAGCTTTTCAATGAAAACGGAAGTAAAATTGGTTTAACTGATTCACCTACATTACACCCTTTTTTCCCCTGATTCTGTTCACTTCCACCCCTCAAGCATCATTAATTTCTATCTACAGAGTATTTGAAGATTTTGTGGTAGTAGCAAAGTTATCAACATCCACCCAAAAAGACTCAAATCAATTACCCAGGAAATTGGCTGGCACGAGGGAAGATTGGAGTGACCAGCTGCCCTTCTCCCTGGAAAGGGAGGCAAGGCACTGCAGTCCCTCCCTCCCTCACCGGACTGTCTGCAGTCAGTGCCTGTCCAGACATGTTAAACTACAAGCAGAAAGTAGTGGGCACTTCAGCCACAGACTCTTTAATTTTTCCAACACGTTTCAGACACAAAAAAACCCCAACAAAACAAACCCACATAAAAACCAACCCTGATTTACATGTAAAGAGCTGATGTATAATCAAAATACGCAAATTACTCAAAGAAAATGTTTATTGGACACACCTCACTTCAGTTTTAGAGAATTTTAAAAGTCCAAGAAATAGAGCTGAAAAAAGTCTCTCATGTGTACCAGAAAAAAACCCAAACCATAGAAAACCAGTCAGCCATGGACTGCAGCTATTGAGAAAACTTGAATATTAGGCTAGTTCCTTATCTTCTTGCTCCATACTTGGAGAATTATTCAAGGATGTTCATAATGGGAGGTAAAAATAACTAATTATTTTCTGCAAAGCAAAATGGGCTATTTGTTTTAATTGCTTAGTAATTGTATCATCTCGATATGAGATATGAATGTATTCATAAGCTTAAAACAACTTCTATGGATAATATACATACTTTAAGTACTTTGACTTAAAACTTGAACGCAAGTCTTTTTAAAATTAAAGGTAGAAGTGTACATATAAAAATTATTTAAAACTAAAAGTATATTCTTAAGCAGTATGTATAAATATAACAGATTTCTTTTGTATTATCTAGTAACAAATGCGAAAGTGTTGCAGTAATTTATAAACTGAATGCTGACACAGAATACGTGCCTTTCATTAAATTCTATATTGTATATACATCTTTTGCTAAGAAAACACACATTCTAAATAAATCACATAATTAGCAAAGGTGCCTGAAAGTAATCTGTTCTAAAGTCTTTATTGAACATGTGTGTTTATATACAAATAATGAACCTGAACTGCACAAATGCAGAAACAAAATTAAGGAATAAAATACCATGATTGAATTAAAGTGCAGGAAAAATTCAAGTTTAAAAGTTCAGGTAAGATCAGTGCCATTAATTAAGCAAAAATAAAACATAAAAGAAACAAAAAACAATGAAACAAAATTTCCCACCCTTCAAAAAAACCCAAACAAACCAAAACACCACCAAAACAAACGAAATTAAAAAAACCAAAAACAAAACATAGAAAGGAAAATAAAAGGAAAACTAAAAGGAAAAAAAAGCAAATGAACTTGCTTCCAAAAATCCTCCTTTGGATGTAGCTTTCCAATCACCTGCCATGCAAGTACCACCTCAGGCACAAAAACTTTGCATAAAGACAGACAAAGAACACAGCTATATATTACTCTACTTTATAACTGACTGCTGAAGAACAAATCACTGGAGATGCCTGTGGTGTAACATTTTCAGACTGATTTGGAATACACACATATTTACACATACCAGGATTCAAAAGTTACGATTTGGCAGGACTAAGGTGAAGAAAAGCTTCTTCAGTTTACAGTTTCTAATGAGACACACTACATATAAACAGATAGGTAGCAGCAGGTAGTTTCTTACTTTCATTTAAAAAAAAGTAATAGCTCAATTGTATCTTTTTAGTTTTCCAGACACTCTAAAAAATGTCACACAACTAAAATGCTAGTGAAAAAACCAGGGGTGCTTCCCTGCAAGGATTTCAATACACTTTGCTGTACAAAAGGTGCACCACCAATAGCACAATAAGATGCAATGATGGGTGTGTGATTGCCTTCCTTCCACTGGGAAGGAAAAAGTAACATTTTAGACTAAAATTGTACATAGCCCCTTTTATTGACCAAGACCCATTTATCTCAAGAACAACCATGCCGTTATTCTTCCTATCTAGAAGCGTGCCCTGAACACAAGCACCAGAAGAGATTCAACTACGATAGATTCTGTAACACCAAATCAGCTGCTACTCCTCTGGTACTGCCAGATGGTCTCTCATTGCCTCTGATTATTTTACTTGCTGGTGGTTGTCAAATATATCTTGATGAGAAAGTTAAGTAGGCTTTCCTTTCAAGCCAAGGTCATCTTCCATTGATTGATACCATAATTTGTTGAAGAATGCTTTTGCAATCCTCTCCCCCAGAGCCTGACCAGATTAATTCCCCAGGATTCTGTTGCCCTGAAATGTACTTTATTTTCAGCAGGTCAAATAATAATAAGTCAACTCAATTTATAAATGTGAGACAAGGAAGGGGTCAAGTGTCAGCTAGGGTGGGTTTTTTTGGATGTGGTATGGATAGTGGTTTATCTCATTTTCTTCTACCTGAATGTCTCACAAAATGATGCTAAATAGGCATTAATTAGACACTAAAAAATAAATTAACATGCAGAGGCAAATATTGCATGGCAAACTGAGTTAAGTAACTCAAGTAAACATTGCCTCAGTAGCTATGGGACAGACATATCAAGAAATCATAATACTACTTGTTTGAATTGTCACATTCTTATTTTTTAAGTCCTTTGAGCAGTGGGCATAGCAGAGCATGCCCTTTTACTGGCAACACAATTCAACTGTCTTTTTAAAATGTTGCTCTACCTAAAGTGAGAAAATTTACCAGTTTGTGCTTCAAAGCCTGAACATATTTTTCTCTCATTTGGAAAGTGATTTAAGGAACCATAAGTAACTTCAATATTTTGCATCCTTGAGGTGTTTTGTAAGGTTGCCTTATCTGTGTACCTGCAACATCACTTCACAATACAAATATAACCAAAGTTTTGCTTTGGGAACATTCAGGAAGTTTGTGAAAAAAGTACACAAAATGCAATGCTTGGAGAAGCAAACCTAAGTGATTAATTTCAGACAATGTAGACCTATCAGCTTCTAAGTACTCCCTTTTATAAAACAAAACGAGTCAATGACTATTCCTGATTTGAGAAAAAATCAGGAATTTTTGATTTGAGAAAAGATTTGAGAAAAAAGGTCTAAAGGAATTTTTGAAATGCAAGCATTTATTTTAAGGAATACTCTCTTTTAAAAAGAGCCCTGGTTATTCACACTGATACAGCTTTAGTGCAGTAGCCATTAACAAGTTAGCTCAGCTGTATTATTTATCTCACCCAAATGGAACATTATTTCAGCAATTCCTAAAGTTTTTATGCACACTTTACCACTGCTTACAATGAAAACACTGCTTTAGAGATTAAATCAAACTTTAGGACAAATGCCTTTAGTGCTGCACGGGGATGAGACAGGTACTTGTAAAATAGCGCTACTGGCAGAACTTAGAGATTGGCTAAACAACATACTGACCATTATCAAGTATTAAATGCTTGCTTGCCATTATTCATGCATCAGCACCTCCATGGTGTGTAGAAGTTTGAAAACCTGAGTCCAAGGTTATCTGATTTCATAGTGAAGGACTAAAGGGGCATCTCGAACTTAAGTCTTGAGCAAAACTATCTCAGCTATTTCAATTAATGGCTGTAAAGATACATTCTGTTAAACATTTATAAAAACTCACAGCATGAATGGAACCCACAGCCAATTCTAAATGTTACACAACCTGAACCAATAACTATTTTTGGCAAAAATAATATTTAACTGAACAGAAGTTGAAGAATTCTTACCACAAGGAAGATGTTACCACATTTCACATTGCACGGCCATAACACAAACGAAAACTCCCAGCATGACACATTCCAGTCATATTATTCACTTGACTTTTTAATGCAAAAAATTACGTATTCTTTTGTTTTGCACGTCACAGAATATGATGTGAATACAAGAATACTAGATCAGGGGTCCAAGAAAAGACTATGCACAGGTCAACTATGTATACAATTTTCAATAAGAAATCTTCCAAGCTTCCAGCTTTTTAAATGAAAGAATGACAGGAAACTTCAACTCTTCTTCAACAATAATGGTAAATATAGCGAGTCCTAGAGAGGGTAATTGTAAGTCAGCTACTGTCCAGCAAGACAAACAGCTCGATTCCAGCTCTTGGACCCCTGATTTATTGCCTCTCCTTACAGGAGGGTATAACACTGGCAGCAATTACAATAGCACAAAAACTTTTGGCATATGAAATATTAACACAGGATTGACCCTGCATTGCCCCTGCCCATCTCACCATGATTTCCTTTTACTCTCTTTCCCACATGTTCCAGCTACCTTCTCTGCTCCAACTTTATGCTAACCAACAGCTAAGAAACACCCAAGTTTCTTTCTTTGTGTGTGTTTCTTAGATATAAAGCTCCTCAGTTAAAGCCAGGACTGAGGTAAAACAGTGTGTCATTTGTGCTAGGAAACAACAGTATCCGATGGTGAATACTCCTTTAAATATCAGTGGTCCTGCCAAAATTAATGAAAAAACAAGATTTTTTCATCAGGACAAAATTAAACAGATGTGATTGATGAGAGTCATCAGAACTGGTACCACTTCTTGTCTTTGTACTTCAACATCATCTAAAAAAACAACAAAAAAATTCTAATTACTGTTTCTGTAATGTACCAAAATGTACAATGACACAAACAAATAATATGCTTTACAAAGCAGCATGAGAAAGAAGGATTTTAGCAAGGTTGCAAACATGTCACTGAACACTGAGTGTTTAGCATGATGAATTTTCTAGTGGTAGCATTATTGCTGGTGAGCTAGCCTCAGAAAAAGACATTTTAGGGAGAATGGGGAGGTTGCACAGGAATTTAGGGTGTGGAAAGAAGTTGGCATGAAAATGAATGAGAACAGCCATTCTGTGGAAGTCACTGAGGAAAAAAACAAAGTGGCACTCAGAGGGTTTGCATACAACAGGACCTTTCTTAAGGACAGCAGGAATCTGACATAAAACATTACTCTTATTAATTCAGTGACAATAAGCAATTTTTACAGTAATGGGGATTGAGTTGCACATTTAGAAGTTTACATGCTTCTCCAGCAGACTGCATGCTCTAGAGCAGCGTGCCAGGAGACAAGGCTGTTTCCAGTGAGTACTTAATTGTTAGGAGTGACAAGTGATGGATGAAAAGGAAGTATCCTTTATCAATGATACTGCATGCCCTTCAGATACCTCTAACATGCCTTTGGCAGAACTCAGCCACCTTGCAGAATTTGCATTTATGTGACAATCAGTTTAATGTTCAGTTTAACATACTCACCTCGTGAGCATGTTTTGAGAAAGAATCAGCACTGTAAAGCATAGCTGCAGTTTTCTCTTCCAGTTCTCCCAGTTTCTGTCCTCTTTCATCCAGTGCCAGCCGGGCTCGTGCCAGTTCACCAACGACACCAGATGCTGCTCCTTTGACACCTTCGATACCCCCAGGTCCTGGAATATGCTGGGCAAGACTCCTTGATGCCTTCCCAGATGCTGATTCTCCAACTGGAGGCATTTGCAAAAGCAGCAAATACAGAATAGTAAGTTTTTCTATCATTGTGACATAAATATCACTGAAACTAGTTTATCTAGTGGTGTAATTTCTTTGCATGGAGACCAAACAGCTTATTTTAGGTATGACTGAGCAACACTCACTACTCTATGTTAGCAGATGTTTCTACATAAGAACTGAGGCATTCAAACATATTCTTAAGTTTCCAGGTAGGTTATAAAACTGTAAGCTCTCCACAGCTCAAGTGTGAAATTAGAATTCTGTTGTTCATCAATAAAATTGTTGAAAAAACACTTCACCAGCACAATATAGCTTCTTTAATGAGGAATGTGTTTTGAGTTCAACAGAGAAAGCAGGGTATTGAAATATTGAAAAGTTGTGGTTAGTTCTGGAAGTGCTTTGCCAGCCAGTGTGATTCCACCAGCAGAAGTTTTTTTTTGATGGAAGCATGCAGACACCTGAAGATTAGGTGTCAATGCTACCATTATTGTAAAAACCTTGCAAAAAAAAAAAAAAAAGGAAAAGGAATGTAAAACCACAGTATGGCTGTAAGAACAAACGAGCACAAAAGGTCAGCTGAACAGCGCCAGACTTCAGTGATAGCACTGACTACACTGACTTTGCTCTTAATGGCACATCAGTCACCCAGTTCAATCTATACAGCTGATGTGCCAATCTCAAGCAGAACTGTACAGACCACAGAAATATGAGTATTTGTTTCAAACAGCGAAATATTGCTTGAATATTTTCTTTTTTTTACCTCCAGGAAAAATAATATTAACTGGTTAAATACATTTTGATGCAGTATTTCCAGACTCTCTGATTTGATTTTATGCTACTAAGAATAATTTACATTTAAATTAGTCCCATAAAGATCTTTCTGTGAATTCCCAAAACAAGAGAAATAATTTCAATTATTACAGATTCTGCTGTGACCTCATGGTAAATATGGCTACATTAAAGATATTCTCAAATGGCTTTTGAATTGTCATTGAAGTCTCTGTCAGGTTTTCTTTCATTCATTAGGATTTTTTTCTTCCATTCAATAGTATTTTCCTTCTAAAGATCCAAGCCAAAACTTAATGGTGGAAACTTGACATGATATAAAGAGATCGCTTCTAAAGTTACATGTTATTTTTCCTCTGTCTCATTCATATCAAATTATAATTTGTGCACATAAACTTCTCTACTGGAATACTTCACCAACCTTCCACAGTATTACATATACATATATGTATATAAAAACGCACAAAAAAGAAAACTTTGACACAAAAAGTGACCTCTAAATAGCTGATAGTTGCTCAAAATGTACAGGCACAAGAGATGAAGTCTAATTTTTATTCTGTAGAGATCAAAAGAACCACCATAAAAGAAAAGATTGGCAGGGCACCTTGTCCATTTTGACAGATACATTTCACATTAATAAGAAAAAGGTTCTTAAAAGGAAGCTTGCATAATATGGTGTTGCATCTAGCAAATATCTAAATAAATAAATGGAAGCTATTTTCCTTAAATATATTTAAAGTGCTTAATGCCATCACAGTAAAAAAAAGTAATCAAAAAACCATTGAGAAAATTATAAAGCAATGAAAATTTTGCTAAATCTGAATTTTACTGTCCTATAAACAGAGGACTGAATTAAAACATCATACAGTTCTGCCCTTGCTGTCATTTCTAAAGCATTTCTGCACAAGCAAAACAAGGAAAATCTGGCAAATAACTGAAGTAGACTGAAATTTTAATTTTCTCACTGTCCAGGATAGAATTCTCCAAAAGCAGCATAGATAGAATCATGGTCAGTACTACACGCTTCATAAAGATGAATAAAAATAAGATTATAAAACAAGAAATGGTTATAAAACATAACCAAAATGTTATAAAACAAAACTCATCTACTGCAGAATAAATGAGCTAAAAGAACCTGTAAAAAAAAAACCATCCAAGCTTTTCTGATCTTGTTGGTAGGTTGTACAACATTAAAACTATGAAAAAAAAAAATTTGTCACTCCCTATTTTACTCTCCTCTTCACAAAGGTAATGTTCTGTGAACACAGGTAATACATTCACCAAGGATCACTAGGTTCCTTGGGAAGAAATACTAGAAAAATAACAATTAATAATAACTTACAGAGTTCTTCTCTGTCAAGTGATTGTGCCCCACCTCCGAACAGGCCTTTGAAGAACCCCCTGTTTGGTGCTTCTGGTGTTTCTACAAGAGTGAAGAGCTCACCCAACATTTCCTTTGCAATGAAAAAGAGATAGAAAAAGGCATAAATTATTAAAAATAATGGAATATTCTTGCACTTTCTGGATTTGTTTAATGGATTTGAATTTCAAAAGAAATATGCTTTAATGAGCATCTGTCTTTGCAAGGTGATGTAGGAAATAGAAAAATGAAAAACATATTAAGAAACTTGTCGAAACGATCTGCTTCTGATGGTTGCAAGCTCAGAGCTCATAGAATTCAGAAGCAAAGAAATGCATTCAAGTAAAGCTTATTTGCCCCTCTACAACTTGGGCAAGACTTCTGACTTTGTTCTATTGAAACTGCATCTACAAATACTTATATCCACAAAGCAGTATGAAAGTAGAGCCTGCAACTCTGCTGTTTCATTATTCTATACATCTACCAACCTGAAGCATGACTGAGAATTTTTCAAGCTGTTAACACCCCCGAGACATAATAGCTTCTTTCAAATATCCTGAGTTGGCATTCCCCACTTGTGTCAGCACACACCTCCCCCAGTGTCAACTGATTAAGGGAATTTTAATGGCATGTTAAAGGAGGATATTTCCTGTTGATCAAAATGGAATTAAGCAAGAAACTGATTCAGCTACAATAGGATGGATGAAACAAAAATTTAAGGTAGAAGTGATTTATTTAGAATCAGACTCTACAGTGAAAGAAAACAAAAGGGGAAAAAAAAATCAAAGCACAAAAGCCTAAATGCTCAGCTCAGGATGTATCTAAGACAAAAGTGTTTTTTTAAAAAGAGTTCATTACCTGAAGATTTTCACATGTTTCTTGGCTGTAGGTGAGCCTCTGTATTTCAGTTGGTGAGACAAGATAGAGTGCTTGTCCATTATCGGTGAAGCAGAACGTTCTGGCTATCCGCATGTTGGTGAGTGGCAGGTAATATACATCCAACAACGGCCTTAAACTGGGCAAACTTAAGGAAAAGAATTAAAACCCCATTAAATATAGCAGAAAAGTCTCTTATTGATCAAATGCTGATTTTTAAAATGCAATACATATTTTTTTCTCTTCACCATCTGCATGATACCACATAAACAGGTATCATTTAATGATGTTACAGAATCTCAAAACATCAGATTTTTCAAGGCAGCACCTCAAAAGTGAAATTTAAACATCTGCATCACAGATGTATTTAAAAGCATTTTTTAAAAATTATAGTCTGAGCATGTAAATCACAAATTCAGTATTTAATGAATTAGGCATTACTGAATAATTACCAAGGTATTTTGATAAGTATGTACCAGGAGTTTACAATTAAACATCCTGTCTCTTCTCCCAGGTTAATAATTTCTCCTTTACTAAAAATAAGTCTCAAAGATCTCTCCTCAAGAAAATGTAGATATATTACGAGTGTGCTGTCAAAGGAAAGCAGAATACAGTAGCTTCAAGCAAGTTTATTAGTTAAGTCCCCCTTTGTTCTCTAACTAGATGTTGAAGAGAAAGTCCTCTTACAGCAAAGTTTGCTTACCTTGTATTTTTGGATTCTATACATATAACTGCAGAACTTACTGTATCAATCTACTGAAGAAGAGACAGCACACTTGGGCTAGAGCAATATTCCCCTACCAAACATTCCTCTCCCTCAAAGTGATAATAAATGCAAGGGAAAAAACACCTGATTTCTTGACCAGTAGAACACAAAATAAACCACTGTCTCAAACATCCTCTGCAAAGTTCTTCTAAAAAAATTACTAAAGTTGTTAGCTGCCAATATCCCCATAATTCAATACACAGCTTCTGCTGCAGCCACCATCCACATAAGGTTATTAATTCTAGACACTATAAAAGCAGTCAATGGGGAAAACTGAAGTTAAAATCTAAAAAAGATGTAGTAACCACAACAGTATCAGGCTGTTTTCTTTAGTGTTTTTCTTTTTCTTTTTTCTTTTTTTTTTTTTTTTTTGCATGATGCCGAGATTGCCTTTGGAGGCAGGTTTCAAAAGTGAGAAATAAAACGCAATATTCTCTTGTAAGCATATCGCCCAGATATGACACCTCTGCCACGCATGTCTAAAATAAGAATATTCCTGAGAGTCAGTTACAGGGAAGTGTTTTGCTTCAGATCAATGGGAGCATAAAACATTCTTACAGCTTCAAAACACAAAAATATCAGATCAAATAGGACAAGTGTGATATCCATGAGAACATTTTCATAATTTCTGTTACAGATATGTTTGTTACTAAGTACTATCTGAATTTATTTCAGTAGTTAAGTACTGGGCATCTTGGGTATGACACAGTGCTCTGACAACTTTACATGAACTGCACATAAGGTCCATCTCCAGCAGCAATTCATGCTTATGAAATGGAGCTCAGCATTGGAATCCAACTTCCCCACACAAGGAAACAATTCAGCATTTATAATTTACCACTTATGTAGAGTTCATTAGAGAACAACGTGAATCCTGAAGAAGGCAGGATTTGTTTCAATATATGATATCTGAACATAAGTTTAGTTTTAGCAGGAAAAACAATACTGTTTGCCCTGCAAGGTGAGCAGCATTTTTTAGAGATGTTTAGAATACATAAAACATGGGATATATACCAATGGAGTTACAGACTTACATACTACAATTAAAAAACAAGTTTTGATTGTATCAGTTTTAGTTTTACTCCTAAAAACTTCCTAAAGAAGTTTTTTTTTACAGAGTTTTCCAAGCTGAAAGCTTCTTTTGGCAACCTTAAAATAATCTTATAGGAACTTTACTGGCATAATTTTATAGGGCCATGTTCTACATTCATCTTATCATCAGGCCACAACTAAACTGCAGGTGCAAGCGTTTAAGTATATACACACTGCTGGTTCAGAATAAAATAGCACTTAAAAACATTTAACATAAAGCACATGAAAATTACATAGGTGACCTGTAAGTATATTTAAGCACTACTGCTACAACAACAACATGTTTAAACTCCTAACTTAAGCCCTTACTTTACTTAGTACTATACAAATGGCAATTTATCTTGCCTTTATAGCCTAGGTTTGAGCCTTTAAGGCTCAAGCAAGCTACGTGAGAAAATATTGAGGCATAAGTGTGATGCAAACAGCAGCACAAAAATAGGCAGAGTTCTGGTCAGGTGCAAGCTAAAGGTCTGACTGAAGGCACTTTTCTCCATCAGGAAGTAAATTCAACTTTTAGACAAACTTAAAGTCATGGACCTATATCACCTGTTTGGAACTGTGTGTTGAATCAGTGTAGCTTGAGCTAAAGTGGTAAACTTTTTCATGTGTTAAAGACATAACTAACAGGAATGTGCAGTCAAAATTATTCAAGCTTAAGTATTAGAGAATCATCAACACTGAGTGAAAGTAATTTTTTTTTAATTCACCATCCTGTGGAAAAGGAACCTTTCTGTGTAGCAGAAGACTATTTCTTTTTGTATAAGTTACTATCAAACAGGTCTTACCTAAAAGTCATAATATGTCCATTGGCACAAAAACATGCAAGGCAGATACTGTTACTCAACGACACTATGTCTCCACGAAGAACAAAAGAAGTCTCTGTTATATTTTGCTTATAAATACAGTTCTGGGATGGCAGTGAGATAACTTTTGCTTGCTTTTCTGAACATATCACTGCATATTGGTTTTCACTGATTTCCTGAGAGGAAGAAGGGGACACTGAGACAGGTCGTCGTTTTTTTGCTTTTTCTTTTTCATCTTTATCCTCATGGTGTTCTCTCCAGGTTTCATGTGCTGGTGGGACCAAAGATCCTGTGGTGTCCAAAAAAGCCATTCTCAAGATTGCCCCTTTTAGCCTCAGGATGGTTCCTAGGAAAGAGTAGTTGAGCACATTTCTAAAACAGTTCTCCTAAATTGCTTTCCAAGCTACAAAATACTCCTTTAAGAAGCTAGGAGAATGAAAAGAAAAGAAGAACTTCACTTTGCCTCCCTAGAAAAACAAATGTACACAAACCTTGGGCATTTATCTAAAAACTAATGAAGCACAAATGTAATCGGGAAAATGTTAAACCAGTTTTCAAGGGTAAAGTGGGTGCATACTCTTTTATTAACTTCAAGGGAAATGTATTTGTATTTAAGTTCAGTGTCACAAATGCAACTCATTTAATTCTCTCCTGATGAGTACACAGTATATTTAATATCAACAATAAATGTTATCAGTCAAAGGTGAGCACCATCTTTTCCTTCAACAGGTTCAGAGAAAAGCATGTGCAGTTTTTTTATTTCTCCCCTGCAGTTCACATTTGAATGTACTTCTCTAGCTTGAAATGAAAAAGTATTCCCTCCTTACAGTTCAAATCACTGTCTCTGTAGGCCAGACCTTTAGCAAATCAATTTTATTTTACCTTAATTCATTTACATGTAAGTAACAACATCAACATCTGCTAAGTCCAAAATAAAAAGCAATATCTTTTAAGGATGATGCTGCAGATGCAAAGGGGAAACACACTGCCTAGCCTGCAGCATTGCTTTTATGACCAAATGTTACCAAATCTGACCACTGCTGCCAATCCCTCACTCAATGGGCACAAATCCCATGTATGGTCTAGATGTCCACTCCTCATCATTCCTGAAACCAAATGGCATTGCAATTTGTATGTTTGATACCATCTGTGTAGCAAAATGGCTAGAGCAGCATGTTCTGCATGAGACAGTGGTAGCAGGAAAGCTAAATCTATGACTGACAGTCTATCCAATAAACCATGAATACAAAATTACAACAAAATTAGTGGCTGTGCATCAGAAAAACAAGATCCAAGACCTTTCACAGCAATTCAAAGGAATACAATTATCGCTAATATTTCAAGCTAGTTGTTAAATTTACAGCCTTAGTTTGCACTCCCTTTTTTTTTGCTGCAGGAAAACTGATTGACTCTTACCTCATGACTGAAAAACAGTAATAAAATGAGCATTTGATACTATTAAGCTCTTCTGCTATTCCTGTTAACAACTACAAATGGTTTCTCAGCAAGCAAACACTAGCTATATTTTTTTATTTTATGAAATTGTACTTACCATTTTTCCAATTTATGAAACTCTGGTAACAAAGTAACCAGTCTAGCTTGTTAAACTTACCAGCTAAATAAATGCAATATATATTTTAAATTAATCAATTATTGAAAAGCAAACCCCAAACAGTTTCTTAAAAAATAGGAAGAACGATAACAATACTTTATCAAAGCGTCCTTTAGCCTGTCTGCTTTGTACATACCACTGGGAGAAACAATTACTGGCTGAAGAAGTCTCTGCTCTCCTCCTGGGGGTAAGTTCAGTACAATGACAAGCACTGTACCCAGTGTGGTGCCAACCCACAGGCATGGGGAAGGTGATGTATCAGCCTTTCTTGTGAAAGTCTCACAAAAATGAAGAGCTGAAATTGCCTCGCGTGACTCTTTATCAATGCTAGTTACACTAGAACTCCGGGATCGACTGAAAGAGTTGTCTTTGACATCTGAAAATAAACCAGTATTAATTAAAAAGAATGGCAAATTGGAGGGATTAAGAGAATTTAATTATTTTTGTTCTTTAGCATCAACTGTATACTAACTATAATGCTATTGATTTTTGTACCCCTATCCTTCATAAGTCATATCTCCTCATGCCCCAATTTCCAGCTGTTTCTTGAGCAAAGCACCCAATATTTGTTGCAGAGGTTGCCATTAGATAATTATAATGAAAAATTTGAAGGCATATTTTTGTCTTCTAGAGCCAGAGAATAATAGTTATCAAGTGGTACTCCTTTAAAAAGCTGAATGACAAACCTCTCTGCCAATTAGTTCATTGAGCAGATGAAAAAAAATATTGTTTTCTTCAACACAGTTAACTAATCTTAAGAAGATATGACTACTTTACTTAAGGAAATGCAGTGACATCTGCCCAGCATGATTGCATGGGTCCTGAAATGACCCACAATATTGTTCCACTTTAGGAAACTGTGCAGGAGATCTAAAAAGCTACTTACACACCCCCTAACTTTAGTGAGGGGAAAATGAATGCTACCAAATGCCACCTGGCACTGTTCTGCAAAGCTGAATATTTCCACTGGGAATGCTGTAGCATAGTGCCAGTAATAGCACTGGATGTCTTGCTCACTGTTTAGCAACAAGTGAATTCTAATGTTAACAAAAGTAAATTGCTGCTCCACTCTTGCTGCATGCTGTCTGTAGGTGTGGCAATACCTGATACATCAGCAGACACTGAATTTATCTATGCATTCACATATTAATGCTGTAATTTCTTATTTCATAATTGCAAAGTTTTAACACAAGACAGTCTTCATCAGCAAAAGTTGGATGCAGTTTATATTATGCTTAAAAAAAAAACAAAAAGTCTTTTGAGTAGGGTATAGATGCAATTGACATTTTAAAGCAGGATTAAGAGCTAAAGAACAACATTCAACCATGTACTATTTGGGACTACTATGTTAGTTTCATTAAATTATTGAAAAACTTTCTACAAAGAATATCTAACATGCATTTGGAAAACATACATACTAGATTTCAACTGACTAAATACACACATCTACTTAACACAGTGAATCTTCTGAGGAATTTCCTCATTCCAACAAGGATAGAAAAAAACCATTGTCCTGTTGAATTTTAGCTGTCAAATATAAAACATGGATTATAGGAACTAACTCAACCAGAGGTTGACATACTAAATTTTCACATTAAAAACAATAAATCCAGTGTAAAACAATGAAAACAATAATTTGTTTTTATAAGTCTTCCAATGACCACCACCTCTTATGATGCTTGCTTTCTTCAGGCTTGAGTATTTTCTAATTTAATGGTTTTTTTCAATTTTAACATGGATTAATCAGTCTGAATATAATCAATCATACAGTAACTGTAATAAGCATAGATTTACATGTGCATTTGTGTGTTCTAGCTATTCGATTTGAAGAACATGTGTACAAATTCCAGAAGCATTGGAATGGACAGGAGAAAACCAATGAAAACTAACTTGTCAGACACATGGGCATTTTTGGGAGTGGACAATCCATTTGAAAGAGAGAACAGAGAGCTAAAAGTTTAACTGCTTTAGTTCATCCTACTTATCCTGAAGTCAAGGAAGAAGTTTGTAAATGGATTTGGTTTAGATGAAGAGGAAGGAACAGCAGTGTGATGAATCACTACGCATCACCAGAAGGATGGACAGATGAGGCTTTTTTGAAGAAGCAAAGCAAGGAATAGCACCTATGGCAGTAGCATCTTAATTGCTGGATTAGAACATTGAAAAGCAATGGTATAATGCAGACAAGGGTATGATCAAGATAACTTCTGTTTTAGAAAGCAGAGAATAAATACAGAAACACATAGTTTAGATTTTATCTGTTCAGAGAGGAAAAGGAGTCGGTTAAAGATCCAAAGACAGAAAATTAATTTGAAAGAACAAGATCATGAAAGAGTAGGTTTAAGAAGCCATGGAAAGAAACGAGAGACAATGATAAGGATAATGAATTCAGGAGAAAGGCATTTCTGTTGTCTCCTACAGCCCATAGGTATGGCCACATAAGTGACAAAAATACAAGCAAGCCAACACTGAAGAACACTATGCAAAAACTGTATCACTACAAGAAAAGATAGAAGCAAAATTAAATGTAACTGCTTAAGAAAGGGATTTACAGATCTGAAAACCTAGAATAATTTTACACAGAACAAAATGTGTCTAAGCACAGATATTCACATACATGCAAAGTCAAAACCACTCAAAAGCTATTGCAATTCAGAAGTTACAAACCATTTTATGAGTTCATCAGAAATGATGTGACAAAAAACTCCTTCCATTATTTCAGTAGAAGAAACAGCAAATATTAAGTGATGTAGAAAACACTGTAACTCTTTCAAGATTGGAAAGTGCTGAAAAAAATTCAGCATTCACTTTTCACCAGTCTTCATTAGGAAAAAGCAACACTTCCAATTATTGCCATCAAAGAAATGTGAGTAGAACAGCAGAATTACAATTGGTTGATACTTAAGTATAAATGTGTTCCAGTTTGCCAAGTATGAAATTCACCCTATACCAAAATTATCCCTAAACCATTGGTGAACATAGCATAGAACAACAGAAACATATTGAAAAGAGTTGTCAAATTCTTCAGCTCTTCTGTGCCAACATGGCCACAGTCAAACTGCTCTAGTTCCAGACACTGAGCTTAGAAAGATGAGGACAAATTCCAGCTCCAGAGGAGATTAACAGAAGCCACCTCAGGTTTAGATAACATAACCTAAACAAGAAGGAACTGCATTCTGTTAGGAAAATAATTCTGTAAAAATGAAATTAGAGATATGATGACAGATTTCAACCACATTAAAAAATGGCTAACAAAGATGGGGAGTATGTGTTATTCCTGTTTATTGGGCAAAGGACAAGAAAAAGTTAATATGGAAGCAAGAAAGTTGGATTAAGTAACAGGAAATCTGTCTAATTAGACTACACAACACTGAAACTTTGTCTGGTATATTTCTAAAAAACTTTTTTATTAGAGGCTCATGAATAGATCAGAGGTTAAATTGTCAAAATATCTGTATCCCTGCCAGAGGATCCTTGCCAATCCTTGGATAAAGAATCCCTGAGAATTGCTTCCAACTTAACATTTCTCTGAGAGGGGCAAGCTGTAACTGTAAATCAGGGCGGTCCAGCTCAGTTTGAGAATATCCCAGTGCCACGGGCTTTTCCCCTTGTTGACAGCAACAGCACCTGGCAAACACACAGTGCTACAGCTCCCATCTGATCCTGGCTGTCTTCTGCTGGGCTGGTGGTGGCAATTCTGCTGCAGAGAGAGGAGCAAGCTGTGGCAGGCAGAAGGCAGCTGCATTTATTACTGCAGGTCTACAGTTGTGCCCCATCGTCTTTAGAGAACAAGTCAGAGGAGCTGGACCTGATCTAACAGCTGGCAGGCGAAGTATTTAAAACAACTCCAATCAATTCATTTGTACATTGTTTTAGGTAGCACAATGACCTTTAGTACCACAGACCTCATAACTGAACTGATCCTTAAAAAGTTACAGTGCATTTTTCAAGAAAAATAAATTCTCAGACTGGTCATCCATCCAAACAACTGTATATAGCTTTACTTTAGAGAGAGTGGTCACAAGACAATTAACATTTATAAAATTATGCCCAACTACTCGTTGAGAGAGCCTCAACATATCCAGTTAAGATATTTCATTTTTCAATTTAAAGTGTATCAGATGGTCCTAAACACGAAGCGGCAGTTTTCCTAATGCTGTCTGCTTATTCATGGTTTTGTTATCACAGCACTACTGATAAAGTGAGTGACAGATACCTAAAAATTATGATGAAAGTGTGATAAGCCATATACAGGAATTGCAGGCTTACCTTATGATGACAGCAATGACATTTTGTGCCTGAGAGTCCCCAAAAAGAGTGGAATTAAAATTTTATTTCTACACTTCAGATAAATGCAACATAAAGTCATGATAGCTTACATAATTCAGGCCTCTTACTTTAACATACTCACATTCAGATTTAGTAAAAATAAAATCAACTATATAAACTTACCTAAATCAGGCTTTAACTCAGTTGGCAAACTTAGCTTCCTGGACATCTTTGCTGAAAAGTGAAGTATATCTTTTTTTTAAAAAGAATAAACATAATTTTGCTGGTCCTTATTTGCTTCTTTTGCAATATTTAATACATAGTTATCTATTACATTCATTGAGGTACTTTAAAGGATTTCCACTAAAGCAGAGCCTCACTTCCTCAAGTGAGTGGTATCAACTAAATCATGGAAGACAGCAAAATCCCTAAATACAGCATCTTATGACTTTGCTGAGCTTGATTTCTCTTCAGGCTTCAGGCAGGACTTAATGGATTGGATGAACTTGGCTTTGGCTCAACCTCAAGTTTTAAATCCTCAGGTGAGAGGTCAGAATTGCAAGGATGTGCAGTGATTCTTGCAAAAAGTTAACATCCCATCCCCCTTTCTTATGCCCTACTTTCTGATCAAACCAGAGACATTTAAAATAGAAAAAAAAAAGAACTTGAAATTACACTACAATTAATGCAGATGTGTAAAAAGGTAATCACCTGAGAGAAAATCCACAGCCTGAGAACCATGAAGACATTACAGAGAATAATCATAAAATCAGCAGTGTACAAATACGTGCAACACATTCAAAAAAACAGAAAGATTTTGAAAATACTGTTCAAGTGAAAAACAGCACTTCAACTCATCCCTGACTTAGAAATTATTTTTATAGGATTGGAAATCTTGCAGTCCATTTAAACTGCAGTACAATGCAAGCAAATGCTGCTACAAAAACCATCACAAATAAACTAGCAGGCATACATACCACTTTCATCTTACTTTCAGTAATTACTGGAGAAGGAATTATTTTGATATAGTTTATCTGCTAGACCAGGAATACACTCTAAAATTATTTCTCAGCCACATGCTTCTGCTTTGATGTATCATTTTTATGATCTTGCATGGGTAATACTTCTTTTCCTAAAGTAGATACTAAGCTTAGCCTCATAATTCTAGGAGTACCTTGTAATGGGTACATCTCAAAGCAGTCTGAATTCTGCTGCTTTTCTCTGTTAAAATTGGAGTTACCTCATTCTAATTATCACTTTAAGAGAAGTCATTCCAATTTTTTCATACCATGAAGAACAGCATGTGACTTAAAGTTAGTTCCACTCCTCCAAAAGTGAAATACTTCACTGTATCATCAATTATGCTCATCAATATTGAAAATTCTAGTTATCTGAGTAGTTGAACAGTTTTATTCCTGTCATACATCATAAAAATTTGAGAACAAGACTCCAGAAATAATCTTCTAATTTCCTTTATGTGTCAATGTTAAAAGTATGCTTGAATTAAATTGAAATTACTTACTCTCAGGCAGAAATGCTAATCACCTATTTTAGTGCAGGCTGAAACTGAAAAGGGCAGCCTGACTACGTGTTTTGTACCCTCATCCTTGCTTTAGCACTGGCAAATACCTAACCTAATGGTGAGGTCAAAACTCATCTAAATGAGGTTTCTGCCAAGGGCTGCTTCCAAACAAGATCAACTCCAATTTCAGATCAGAGCTCAGAGACAGGAACAGAAAACTAGGGTACACAACAGCAGCAGTGACGAGGAGCCCGTCTTTTTGCTGTCAGCTTGAACTTAAATCAGCTTCTGGAGAGATCATGAAATCTCATCCGGAATAGTGAATTTCAGGATGGGCATTCCTCATTACACTTGTTTTCTCTGTTGGAGATTTAAATAACAAGAGCTGAGGTACTGAATAAAGCTTCAAGTATGTACACACAAAATAACTGGAGCTATTTTTGGTTTTTAACAGCTTTCATCATGTGTAAATAACCTATTTAACTAATTGAAGACCAGTACAGTCACTCTTGGCTTTTCAAATAGAAACATTTGGCACAATCTTGACAACTGGGAGAAAATTGACAAAAAAAAAAATTCCGAAGTTACAGATAATATAACATGTAATAGCAAGTATGGAAAAATGTGTTGGATTCTGAGAGCTGATCCAGTTTTAGCTTTTTGTTCCTTAGTGAAAGGCCAGCTGTGTCAACTAAGCTGGTAAGATAAAACAAATTTGTCAGACAATTTTCAACCCACACTGAACTATGCCTCATTAATAGGACAAGAGGATACAAGATTTGTTTAAAAGGATATAATTACTGGAAATTGTGAATTACTGTGCTATGCAAAAACCCCCCAACATTTCAAAACATATGTTAATGTGTCAGAAACCTCAATAATTTAAATGTAAATGAGAAATAAGAACCTATTTCAACAGCAATGGTGCCATCTTGTGTTTAAACAAAAAACTGCCTAAACATGCAGTAAGAAAATAGGAATATTTCACCAGCTAAGCCCTTTTTGACTAACATTATTCAATATTAAAAAACACCCTGCTTGCATTCACATTGGTTTAAGTTTAACAATTTTTGATAAATTCAGGTTTTTTACGCCTCAGATGAAAACCAGCAACATGCTAGATACCTTGTACAAAGCAAAATATATAAATCAGAAAAATGGAAGATACAGGATGGAGATCTACAGAGACAGCATTCAATGTCAGGCTTTTCACTAGAGCTGCACAACAGGGCAGAGGTGATGCTGACTGCTCCTGCTGCTCGTGACTGACTTCAAGTAGTAGCTGTCATATCAGAGTTCAGTATCTCCCTTGTTGCTGCAGCATTTACAGCCCAGACAGAGACCTGGGAGCAGTTGTGCTCCTCCTGGCACACTGCTGCTCAAGGCAACAGTGACTGTTTTGCCTGGGTTTAGTCCTACATTTAATATTTCTCCATATTAGAAAACAAAGAGTAATACACAGGTGCATACACATGTTTTGTCAATATATATAATTAGGAATCATATTAGAGAACTGTCCAAACCCAGGGATTCTTGGAGATTTCTCACAGGTCAGGCTTGGGAAGGTAGGTGTTAAAATATGAAAGACTGCTTTTCCATAAGATGTTGTGTGTCAGTATAGCAGGAACAACCTTCAAATCAAAGAAAACCTGAAGGCTGAGAAGGCTTCTCACTAGGAAGCTGTGGCTTAGAAGCAACAGCCACATTTCATTTGCAGTGGGTTATCCTGAGCTGATGCTTTAAATGTATAGCACATCAGTTTGAAAGCTATACAGTGACTTCTCCTCCACTCCTCTTATTTTAAAATAAAATTTTAAAGATTATAAAAGAGACGTGTCTTGGAGCTTTGACAACTAAGAGAAAAACTTATGAAGCCTATTTCATATAACATCACGCGAGAAATAATGAAGCAGCTTAGAATTTGCAAAGCTCCCTAATAATTCTATATTTGACAACTACACAAAATGAAATATTTACATTACCAATTAACTAATGTTGAAATCTCTAAAATTCACATGAGAACAATAAAACCATTTTATAAGAAACTGTATGAAAACATGTGCTTGGATACATCAAAAATTAGATCAAAGTATTAAAAACACGTTGAAAGAATTGGTCTTTGACATTAGGGCAAATAAGAACTTATTATGAACATTGTAAAATTTGATTCAATGAAAACAGCTGTAACTGTCAATTATGATAGCAATGTTTGAAAAATTTAGGTATACGCTTAGAATTTAAGAAATGTGAGACACCTCTGTCAGTATTAACAGCAGGGATTACAAAAGTTTGGAACTAAATCTACTCTGCTTAAGTCCGTCTACTAATACTTTTTGCAATTATTTCTAAATTTGTAAAGTGCAGGAAATAAATAAGATGAATTTTCCTAAGAATTATTTGACACCGGCTACTAGTACAGTTATAAAGGTTTTTGAATCTACCATATTTTGCAGGCACCTTTGCTAAAGGTTTTTTCCAGAAATGGTTATTATATCTTAACTTCCAATACAATTTGTAGCTATAATATTTAATCATCTGTATCTCTTCATGTCAAATACTTGATTAACCAAATAACGAGTAAAAAAGCTGAAGGTTTTGCTTCCACTGAAGTTGGATCCCAATGTCTTTCTATAAAAATGTCAAAGCCTTAGAAAATAAGTACTTCCTTCCTGTAAATTCATTTACATTTAGTATATTCCTTCATATTACTTCACAGGATATTGTTTATACCTTCAAATATGTGACATTTGTAAGAGAATGGGCTGGATTCAGTAATGGCCACAGTACTTTCTAAAATTTCTAGAAATGTTTAGTTAAATCAAGTATCTCAATATCTCCAAGGAAACAATTAACTATGATTTTTTTCAAGGTTCATCTTTGATGCAAATAAAAGGGAAACATGACCCCAAGGCAACACATTCACAACAGGTCTTTAACTTGACTTACTATCCATTCCTTAGCACAGAGCATTCACAGTTGTGTATTTAGAAGAAGACAACAAACCAGACAAACTGATCAAATTGTTGGTGCATAAAGCATTTGCATGTTGTTTTACAGAAATCTGTAGAAATGATGATGCTTTATATCAGTTGCAATAAATAATAAATTAACAATGGCTTCATATTTATAACTGTGTGTGAGATGTTACCACCTTGCAGCCCTACCACTGAAATGAAATTACCTCACACTTTGCTAGCAGCATTCCTTTGCTTCTTGTTCCCATTGGGCAAACACAGGCATGATATTAACAGCAACTGAAGTTACCAATGGGAATGATTTTAATTCTGTTTTGCACCACATTTAGCAGGTTATATTTTACACATTGACAAGGAATGGAAGAACCTTGAACTGACTGCTCTGTGTGCCAGTGCACAGAGCTATGACCATGCCATACACATCAAATACATCTAATTCATCCCCGAGAATACAGTTGATAGCAAACAATTTGTTTCATACAACACGGTGATGTTGATGACAGTGACATATTTTACAAAACTCATTGTCCATGCACATTTGGTTGTCAATTCAGTTTAAAACAATGAAAAGCAGAACCATGCAACTATTAACACAGGAAAGGTGTTTTATTTACATTAAAGAGCTTAGAAGTAAATTCAGAAAGAGCTAGAATAAGCATGCCAGATATAGAAAACATGGTAGCAAAACAACCACATTAGTGCACAGCAAACCACTCAAAACTATGAAAATGCAAAATAAATAATTAACTTTGGGCTTCCAATAAACTCTGCAAATTACACAAATCACAGTATAACTTACACCCTGAAGAATGCATTGCTTATAAATAAATGTTTTTCTTTTTTTATCTGTGAAAAACATTTCAAATACTTTCAGTTGAAAGGCTTCCAGCTGAAACAGATGTGAATGGCTCTACAGAATCCTCATTAGCATACTTTATTAATGCTCTAACATAACTCTTTGAAAATAAGTGGAAAAAAATAAAAAGAGGTCACAGTCAGTCAAATTTTCCATGTGTTTTGCACAAGACAGTGTGTCTTATGTTCAAAAGAGACAAAAGGGAAACATTACCTCAAAGGACATTGATATAACACACACAAGATTAGGTCTTGTTTTTCTCATGGTTTTCTCAACCTGAACATTAGGCTCTAGTTACTCTGAAATTCCTTTAGGGGAACATATTAAAGCTCATGTAAAAGACACTAATTTCTTTTTTAATTACAGATGAATTCACATAATGTATTATTGACAGCCATTTGCTTTCTTGACTGATATTCAGACTTTTGCTGTCCTAAAATTGATTTTCCCTGCTATTTCTGAGGTCATTGCAAGAATGTCTCAACACAGGGCAAAAACATGCCTTTTGTACAGTACTTTCTCATTCTGTACCTCAGATTTCAAGGATTAATTTGCCATACTCCTGAATTCTGAATGATTCTTTGCCTCAAATACTGAATTATGATGGAAGGGATTAATATTTTGGGATAAAATTTAAATTGCCAAACAGAAAAACAAAAGAGAGACTTCAGGAAAAGAAATCTCTTCCTCCTTGGTCTCAAGCTATACTTCCACACAACTTTAGCTACAACTAGTAGCTTAGCAACTAGTTTTACTTTATAATTTCAACCTAAACCGACTGAAGAGAAAAAATGAAATTATCCTACAATGATATACTAATTTGCTAAATGAAAACAAAATGAACATTAGCAAAGTGATTCTGCAGTCAAAGTAACCATATCCCAGTTAAGGAAGAAGAGTCCCTTTCCCAAAGCCAAATCATACAGCCTCTTGCTTTCATTTATTTAATGAGCTACTTGTCAGAAGCAGAGTTATTTCCATCCCAGCCATGAAAGGGTTCAATCTACCTGCATACAACATATTCCAAGGAAATTTTGTTATTAAATTAAGACACAAGTCTAGAGCTGGTAGGGTATTGTGCCACTGTTGGATGCAGAAAAGTAGACAGTTCTGGAACAGCAATGGGAAATACTTATATAAATACAAGCCAGTCCTCTTCCAAATGAATAAATGAAACCATGATAGTACCTGACCACAGCCATATAAAAATCTGACCATATGGCTATGAATACAACATACAAAAAAGAAATGGCATCAGCCATGTGTTTCCAAAACCAGCACACATTCACAAAAGTGGAATCACCTTGTGACTTGTATAGACTGAACTCTTACTATGCATTAGAATTTCACCCATCCAGAAAAAGAGAAGTGAAACTGTAAAATCAGAGAATTTAAATCACCAATATCCTTGATTTTTTTAGATTATTGTGCCCAGTGTATTTAGTACAGAAGCAGCCCATAGAATAACCAAGTAGCGCAAAGAATGAAAAAAATTAATAACAGAATGCATTGAAATTTGACTGTTATTTTGCCCTTTTTTTGCTGCTGGGTTAGTGCTGCATAGAGTAAGGCACTGAATTAGAAAGAGTAGATTTTTTTCTAGTTCCTACCTATGTCATTGGTTACCATCTTGGAAAATTTTCTGCTTTTGGTCCTCACTGTAAATAATATTATAATTAAAAAAAAAAAATCAATCTAAGTGTATCAAAAGGTGAACTAAAAAAATAAGACTAAAGAAAAGAAAAATACTCTACCCTTTTCTATAAAATTATTCATTTTTTGTTCATCATCAGAATTGTTTGGTGAACCAGAACCTACAAGTGGAGACAGAATGAAATGGATATACATTTGACATGAATGAAGGAGATATAGTTTTGACACAAAAATCAATGTATATTAATACACTTAAGATATACATATATTATACAATATATGTATACATTTAATATACAAAATTATATTCAAGATCTGAGTTTAACAAAGATGCAAAGAAAATATCAAATACTGATATTGGTATTCTCTGTAGCTGTATTAGATATTATAAAGGACAAATTACTTTGGCATGACACAATTCTGGCATATTGGAATTAGCCACAGAAATTACAATGCAAGGTACAACGCTGCACATTGAGTTTATTTCTAGAAATAATGCCCTCATTGAACAAATGTTTATACTAAATAACTAAATGGCTCTACTAATCATTGCTCCAGACACAGAGATTAGCCTAAGTTATGATTCACAAAACACAGCTGTAACAATAAAAACAAGTTCTATAAATCTGTTTGGGTTCCCCCCCCCCCAGTGCAGTAAATTACTGTTGGACCACAGTTCTTGAACTACTCTGCAGACAATTGTAGGCCAGTAGTGCCACCTGGATTTTTCTGTATCCCAGCCCTGAAAAACTGATATTAGCAACAGACCAGAACTTCAGGCTTACCATTGTCATGAAATTAAAAGATTGCTAGGAAATTAAAACAATTTGTCTAAAACTTTTAAAATTTAATTGGATTTTATATTGTGGCAGTGTGAAAAGAGAATAGAACACAAGCATTTTGGCACTTCTAAAGACAAAAACTTGACAGTTTAAATGCTGTACAATCTTTTAGGTCAGATAAATATTCCCAGAGTCTAAGCCTATTGCTGCTTGACATCTATAGAAAAAGCAGGAGGTACGATTACTCCTCCTGCATTTTCACAGTATTTCTATAGTTCTGTGTTCCTGAAACTGTAGGATACTCTCCTAACTTGCATAGGCAGGCAGTCCCTTTTGCAGTCCTCTCATCTATATAACCACCCACTGGAGGAATCCTAATGGAAGTCACCTTCCACTTCACTTGGACACGGAAAGGTGGATTTGAGGCTTCAGTCCAAACAGTGACTGGCATCTTTTACAGATCACATTGTAACAATGGACACCAATAAGGCATTCAATTGCCAATCTCATCCTCGAATTTTAGAGCTAGTAGCATGCAAACATTTTGTGTTTGTGTATTTTACTCTTAACTAGAAAACCTCTAGACTGCAAAAAGTTTCCTTAAATTTAGCCTCCATCCTTCTTCTCAAGCTTGCCAATACTCTGCAGCAAATTTCTCAAAGAGGTCCTCTCTTACCTCTGAAAGCTAAACGCCACTTTCAAGCTTGTTTTCAGTCTTGAGGTTTTGCCCAGAAAAGATACAAAACTCAAACCAAACCTAAGGAATTACAGTTCTTCTCTCTTGACAAACATCAACAAACTATTTCCATCCCAGGGTGGTTCATCCAAGACTTATTTCAAAGGAAAAGTTGAGAAGTCTACCATAAGCTTAATCTAATTCACTGAGAGCAGAGGACAGAATCAAGGGAAGCAAGGCACAATCCAACCTCGCTACTAGAAGTTTCTATTTTACAGGAGAACGCAAGAGCTACATTCCCCCTCTATCTTTTGTGCATTCACACTTTTTGGTACTTTTTTAAACCTTCTTCAGCTCACACTCAACTCAAACAAGCAGGAGGAAGGTAGGGGAAACCAATTGTTAAATTTAGGAGTTTTCCATAAACCTTAATTTTCATCTTTGCATTTGTCTTCCTTGCACTGTTGCAGAAGTGTTGAAATTAGTTTTACTCTACTTCAACACTCAATTATGAAAGAATCCTCTTATTTAAACAACACAGTGTTTTAAGTAGTGTAAGTTAGGAGTTGTTTGGGCTAACATTTGGGTGATTCTGGAGCAGGGGATAAAAGGATACACTTTAAAGACATTTTATAGCAGTGTTCCAGAACCTATATTTAGCCCAGATTTTCAAGTGGGTCAAATTCAAATAGTGAATTGATAAATATGCTCAACCTTGACAGACAAAGGATTTCCTGCAACTGCAGCAATGCATAGAAAATTGTTTACAGGCATTGGTCTCAGTGTGTAAAAATGAAATAGGAAACGTGCTCTTTTTTCTCAACACCACAAAAAAAGCTTTCATTATAAACTATACTCAAGTTGACTTCAGCATGCCAATACTTAGCAACACAGATTTGTCATGAAATTATATCTTCAGGCAAGACTTTTAACTAAAACTCACAGCTAGGTTGTGCTTTAATTATAAATAAATCAAATTTACTCTAAGAAAGCTAGTAAAAACGAAAATTGCATTGATTGATCTAGAAGAGCGTTTGGCAGAATTTATAATGAACATTAAAAGACAATTGTCAAATCAGAAATTAAAATTCATGTTAAAATTTCTACTACTGCTACAAACACAATGTTTTGGTTTGTTATGTTTTCAATTTGGCTTTGAAAGATTCAGGCTAAAATAGAAAAGGAACCTCTATTAGACTCCCATCTTAATTAGCATTTTGCACTACATACTACTTTACGTGCTTCATTTAAATCTGCAGTTCAGTCCTTTAACCTTGAGTAGTTTTGAATAAAACAAAATGAAATCTTTAAAAGTTCTCAGAGCAATAAATAAAGACAAGTGACAAAAACTACTACAAAAACTATTCACTCTATACATTGACATGCATTATTAAGTATTTACATGGTTATAGCCTCAACTAGCCAATATAAAAATAATAAATCTTGAAGGTTTCATTTAAAATATTCACATACAGCAGTGGCAACTGGAAAATTGAAAAAAAAAAAAGGGTGCAGGAGGAGGAGTATTAAGTAGGGGACTCTTATTTGCCTGCTGGTTTCTGAAGACCTCTGATTCCAAAGAAAAATAATAATTTGGCACTTATGAGGAAGCAGAAGGAAACTTGCTCAGAAATAATCTCTACCACTTCTGAGGAATATGAAACACAACCATACGAATTATTACAGGAATTTGTGCGTCTCTTGTCAATGCTTCAAAATTCCATTGTGCAGTATGTTCCCTGAGGCATAAATATTTCAGCTTATTCTCTCTTCAATCATCTTTATAACATACTCCTATTCCATCTCTTAAGTCAGCCTTGTTTTAAAAATGCAGTTGTGCAAGATGGCAAAATTTATGACAGTTCCAAAAGTTTATGAGAGGACAACAGGCCTTATATAATTACTTAAGTAGTAAGTGTTAACTTAATGCATGCCATGCTCTGGGAAAATGAGAAGCTGAAGATCAGGGAAAGTTATGATTACCTGATGTGGGTGACTTGCAGCGATCTTCTGGCACCACTGTACCTTCATTTATATCACAGAGACCTGCTGAAACACAAAACCAGTGTATTATAAATACAGCTCCCATTTTAGTTTTACTTCCACCGCACTCAGGAACTTCATTTCTTATTAGAGACAAACAAGCCAGTTGTGATAGAATTTCTGTTACATACTACTCTTTTTGACATTACTCACAGTAACTGTAGAGTCACTTTTTCATACTAAAGTTTTCTTTGCAAAATATACTCTCTCAATACATTTTAGTGAAAACCATTATATTTTCAGCTAGACAGACTTATCAAAAGAGTTAATTATTTACATGTTACAGGAAGATATTAAGCATAAACATGATTTGTTTTGAAAAAAATGCATCATATTAAAATATGCATCATATTAAAAATGTAATTGCAAAAGAAAATCATATAAAAGAGGGTCCTGATGATTGCAAACAGGATGTGTGAAATTACAGTGCCTTTTTCAAATAATTTTCCACTGTTACACTGATATGCCTTGTATTTGCCAATTTGAATTACCAAGTTAATTTTCCAGAAAAACTCCTTATTGGTGTCACTTAAAGAACTCAGGTGTTAGGGTGTTGATAGGTGTTCTCCCTTGCATGGAAGAATTTCACTAAATTTCTTACAGCATCAAATCTGATCAATTTGAATAACTGCAGTATGTTAACATCTGAAAGGTAATTCCTTTCATTCTACTGATGGAAACAAAACCTAGTCATACACAATCAGATGCAAAAGACGGAAGCTGCCTCAAAATGGTCCTAAATATTATTCCATTGCATAAATTAAAAGTATACAAGAAAATTTCTAATTTTTTTTTTACAAGAAATTGCTGTCAAGACTGCCCAAAATTTAGAGAAGTGCATTTTGTTGATATTTTAAAGTTAGTAATGCATCTTCAGGTTTATATCATGAAGCTCTCCTACAGAAATTTCATTATGTGATACTAAGGCAAACAAGCATGTAATACTGAACAGTAATAACTAAGAAATATTTGCTAAAATTACAGAGTTTTGCATGCACACAAATATTCCAATACTCAAAAAGTTTGAGTGGTAATGGCTAAGGCAGGAAAGGAATTACGTGGAAAGCCTGTCTATACAACTGCACACTACATATTCACAAGCGCCTCTGTACATATCTGTTAACAAACAAAAATACAATAGCTCTACTCCATCAAAGTTTTAAAATTTCCAAACACTTAATCAGAAGTTAATAGTTTAAATGGAAATGGAAAAAGGTTCTCCTGAAATAAAATATCAGTATGGAACACATTGAAAGTATGTTACATTAACAGTTCCATTTATCCAAAAGAGTCTTTTTTAAGATTACTAAGGGCATGTATAGCTTAAAACCCAAAACTCAATGACTAGAATTGTCAAATGGCCTTAAGACTTTGTTAATCCTACATTTAACAGTCCTGGAACCAATTTAAATTCTAAAATGTCAAAGGAAATTCCAGGTGGAAGCTATATATTTCCACTACATAGGAAAAAGAAAAGAGCAATTTATTTAGTTATCTGTCAGTAAATCAATGAACACTATGGGATAATCAGAACATTACACCAGAGTTTTAAACAGGCATAGGAGACTAAATGTTTTGAGGTAGACACGATGGTGTAAAAAGATTTTTGAAAAATCCTGAAGTTGCTTTCACCACATGCAATATAAGTTTTAGATGACAGCTGTACTGGGAGGATAAATCCATATTGTGCTCTTAGAAGTAATTTCACCCTCAGGAGCCAAACCAAACAAATTCATACATGCAGTTCAGGAACACAATTTCCTCCCTTCCAATAAAGATTAATTCTTTACCTTCAAAGGAAGAGCTTAACTTCTTGTACAAGTTCTCCTATGAAAATTCATGAATTGACAGCAATAGTCTTTAGCCAAGAATGAAGATACCTGCACACTTGAATTTTTGTAGGAACTCTCAAGGCTATAATTTGATTAATATACATCTTAATTAATAACAAGAATAAGTGTGTATTGTGGTAATCATTATGGTATGTAAATCTTGGATATCTGTTCATAGCCATTACTGCTATTACTTAGGAGAGAAAAGGAACAGGAATAGATGAAAAGTCTTTTTAGCTATGATTGAGTTGGTAATTAAACCAAACAGAATATAACAAGAATGATCTAAGTTTGTGAACTAGGAGGGTGTGCCTATGACCAAGCTGAAGAAACCTGCAAGATAATCTCTTGCTATTCATCTTGAAACCCCAGGTATCCTGACAGAAACACTGGGAGTAAGACTGCATTCCTGGAAAAATTCTCTGGTTTCAGGTTTATAGTACCCATGCAAATTGCTATGAATTACAAAACAAAATTGATCCAAGAGTTTCTGTTTCAGAAATACAAACTATATCCTTTTATAATACTGTTATATGTACAAGTGACCTTCTAATAAGCTTTTAGTTTATCTACGCAAACTCCAGAAGCAAGATATTGGAAACTCTCCAAATTACCAAAAATTAAATAATGTCATTGAAGACATCATTACCATGCTGCATTAAAAACTCCGCAGAATTACAGCTGAAATTAACTGATATATAAAGCTTCATGAGAATTAGTCAGTTTTTTGCACCAGTTTTAAGCAGACATATCTCAGAAGAACCTACAACTTGACTGTAAACAGTGCAATTAAAAATTACAACTAAAACTAACTTGATATGATGTAAAAGTTAGAATTAAAAACAACCTGAAAAACAGGTTGGGGGAAAAACCCCCCCAGCCCAACAATAAAACTTTCTGATACAGTTTTGGCCTTGGCTAATGTAAGCCACAGCTGATATTGGTCTCACAACATTTAAGTTAAAAATTCAAATGTTTCATGAGGGAGGATGGGAAAAAGAAGATGACCAAGCAACTCAAGAAGAGTTCCAGGCATGTACTTTCTTCCAGTTTTCTCCACCCTACTTTTTGAATCACTCATAGATTACTGCAAAAAAACTTTTTGATACAAAATAAAAATTTTAAAAAGTCATATGCATGTAAGAGCAGTTTCATTTTTGTCAGAAACCTAAACTGCTTCTTGTAGAACTAAGAAATCCTAACTTTTAAAGAGTTGTACTGAATTGCACTAATCAAAGAGTCACATAAAATCTTGTAACTCTCAGCAACAGTAATTTGCAAAAAAAGAGTTATGATTCATGTTCTCTGTGAACTTATGGAACTACGCAGGAAAAAATAACAGCTATATAAATTTTGGGTTTTCATCATGAAATTAAGATCTTATTTAATGATTGATTTAATGACTCCTGTCTTATTTAGCAAAGAGTACATCAAGCAAAGCTGCCTAACAGTGTAAGCTCCATCACATATAGCTTTCATCACACTATAAACTTTTACTTACACATTTCATGTCTTTGGGCACATGGCCAAAGCTGATTTTCTACACCCTCCCCCCTCACTATTAGACTCTGAAGGCAAACTTTGATTTTGTTTTTAACCTTGACAAGCTACTGATGACACTGTCTGGCAGGCCTTAACAAAACACATATACTGCATGCTTCACAAACTATAAATTGCCACCCAAAACATGTGAGTAGTATACCTGGTACGAATCACTGATAAATTCCAAAACACGATCCCAACTGGGAGCTTGTGTCTGTAGAGCTAGCCTGAAATGACATTTTACAGTCTAGCTAGTGTAGAGAGCCTTGTCTCTAAATAGATGCTGCTTTAAGACGGGAATCTGAATTTCTTTTCTGAGTAGAAAAAATAAGATGACAGAGAAATACATCATATTCTTGCAACATAAGAGAAGGGAAAAAATCTCGCATTTCCATTCATATTTTAGAAGATACATAACTCTCACTCTATAAAATTTTTTAAAAGACGCCTTTGTAAATTTTTAATTGTTTGATTAGGGACATACCATTTACTAAATCTTAAGTATGTTGGCAGATACTGATAATCTATTGAATTGACATTTTATGCTGAAACATACAGAATATCTGGGTTTTTATGAGGAAGGATCAATCCTTCCTGCCTTTTCTGTGCTTGGTTGAATGTACAATAGCAATATCCTGCTCTGTTGCAGGCTGTCTGACTGCATAGGTAAACCGGTATGATGTTTTTTCCTTAAATACACTGTTGTTGTCTCAAAGAATAGGAATTTTCTAAACCAACGACATTAGATAGAAAAATACTTTTTCTAGGAAGATTTAAATATCAAGTATTAGTAGTCCCTGAAGATTTTTAGCTATATAGCCATTGAAAATATCTTATTCATAGATAAAAATAATTTTTAAGTATTAAAATAGAAATGTTTCCAAGACAGAGATTCAATGAACGCACATCTATCAAAGCAAAAAACAAGGAAGCATAAGCTCCTTGCATTTTTGAAAACACTAAATGCAAATAGTCAATGTCCAAGAAAGGGAGAATGCAAAATCTGAGCATCTTATATAGTTCCAATCCTATAAATAAATCAGAGGGTAGCACTTAGATGTAACAGACTCAATATTTGTGGAAAATTGTTGAAGCAATTATCGAAATCTGGGCAACACATACACTGAAAGAACTACAAATAATGAAAAATGCTAAATGATAACTAAAGAAACTATTTTCAGTTTTTAAACCACTGTAGCTCCAGTTAACCGAGATACTTTCAGAATGGTAAACAGAAAGAGAATTACATGGTTATGAAATTAACTCTCAGGTACAAAACTTGTTTAAACTTATTCCTAAATAAAACGCCCAAGTAAATACAGCTTTACAATATTTACTAGCTTTGGGATTTCTACCCATCTTGTTCTTTTTTTCAAAAGAATAATCAATCAGTGCCAGATCCTGGTTTTCAGTTCTGTATCATCTTAAGGTGGAGGCATTTCTTTTATGCCTAGCTCCCTTTCTGCCACAGCAGTAGAAGAGGAAAGACTATAGAGAAAGCAATATTTGGCAATTGAGACTATCCTCTGAGATGTATTTCTTTTTTCTTGTTGGGAGAAGAGAAATGGCAGAACTAAGACTTGGACCATAATTTCAAGTTTGTTTTGCAGTTCTGTTTGTTTGTTGTTTTACTTTTTTAACTCCATTTTTACAGTAGCATAATCTGCTCTACTTCATTAAAAAAAAGGGCTGAGATTACCTACCTCTGCCTGGGGGCTGGAGAAAACTGGCATCCTAAGAAAAGGCACAATTCTATGCTTTTAAAAAATAAGGTTTACATTCTCCAGATGCTTGGATGCTGTGAATGATGTCTTAAGTCAGACTCTCTTGGGTAATTCATGGTTCTGATGGCTTACCTTCCTCACACAGATACCTGAACTTCAAAACTGCTTGGAAACTGAACAGGGCTGTTCACAAACACCTCTTAATCCCTATAAACAACATTTTTGTAGAAGTAACTTTTCACTTTTACAAGAAGAATCTCTCTGTAATCACAATGTTTATTTTTATCATTGCTACTAATACTCTGGACTTCTGAAGCTTTTTCTGCGAGAAAGGGAACCACGCAAGGAAAGTTTCTAGTAAAATAACACTAAATCTTTGAGTAAGATCTTAGCTCTATAAACATCAGCAAAATCTGAGATAGGATCTCCTTTTGATTTTGAGATTTATTTGTTTAAAAACCCAAAATACAGAGACTATTATGGTTGCTTTATTCCTTTAAATTTCTTTTAAAGATATCACAAATGAGAAATATAATGGATGCAGGATGGATTGAAATCAGTTTCTATAAGTAAAACAATTACTTAAAAAGAACTAAAGAAAATAATTATGGTGAGTGAACCAAACAAAAAAAGTCAAGTTCAGATGTTCAAAAAATATTTGAATGCCATGAGATGACTTACTTATATAAGAGGTGCGAAGCTTTTTCACAGACTCTGAATATAAGTTAGAAAGGCCGCACATGCAAGAAGCCACAGTCAGCATACCTTCATGAAGCAATGAGAAAAGGAAAGACCAAACACTAACAGTACATTTGAGACAGAAAAGCCAGTAACTTGTACAACCAGGTTATTAAAATGCCATTGCCATGCAAATTGTTAGTATCAGAAGTTAAGATGCAAAAATATGACTTCATATGACAGCTATATTAATGAGCAAAAAGGGCTTTCATCAAGAACATCTTAGAGACACAGTTGAAACACAGAGTTATGTGAATCCGATTTATTGGATCAAAATAACAACAGTTAGGAAAACAAAGGCAAGTGAAGTTTAAAGCTCCAAAAGGCAGTTTATAATCCATATGCATGAGGCAGAATTTAAGCCCTTTACTCCCAGGACAAATTAACACAGTCAAACAGTAAAGCTATTTCTTTCTCTCACAGTTTATATCACACAAGAAAATATTTTATCTGACAGGATACCGACTGTGTATGCTCTGCTCTGTATGAATGATTTTTACATCCAATTGCTCAGTTGAAATAAACTGACTGGTGTTAACTGGATCTTTTTCAAACCATTCATTTACTAAAATACCTCGTAGAACATCAATTTGAATAAAATATTACCAGAAGAACTCACAAGGACTTTACTCTGGATCTCTTAAAGAAATTAACAGCCAATCATGAGGAAGGGTTTTTTTGAACAGCTTATTATTATGTCTTGTGTTTTCTGAAATAACTTAGGAGTATCCATGACACATCAGGGAGAAGAAAATTTTAAAAATACTAAATTTTTTTCCTGGTTACAAAAAGCTTTGTATTTTGATTGAAAAGTCACTTTCCATTTTAGCTGAAAAGGAATATTCTTCAGCATATTTTAAAATCAAAATCCATTTTTTTCTATTTCAAAGAGATTTATTTTATCAGTTTGTGTGTAGAAGTTTATTTTCTTCATTTCAATCAAAAGTTTCCTCAAGCATAACATAACAGTATTAACAATATAACATGATTTAGCTCATCAGGGACATTTGTAGTCAAATTTTAATATAGGAGACAAGAGATCCCAGCAAACACTCAGGCTATCTGCAAACATTAATGGATTTATACAACCATGTAATATGGGTACTAGCTTTATCAGAAACATCAGGATACTTCCTAATGCTGTGTAAATTAATGTAAAGTGCATAAATCCATTGTAAATTTATATTTTTTCTTAAAATACATATTACCCTGCAAAATATGTAATGGTATGAAGCATCAGTAGATTTCACTAAGCAACAATTTTTAAGGAAAGATGAATTAACAAAGCTGCAATAGTGACATTAGCAACAGATCAAGAAGAAAGAAAACCACAGCGAAGAAAGTGTGCATTCTTTGAATACAAACAAAGACTAGATGACCAACTGTGCCTTTCTTCTGAGCTTAAAATGAGTTTGGGTTACCCACCTCCAGATGGTTGCCGGGTTTTTCGGGGAGATCGTGGCTCCCTGCGGTAGGGATCATTGGAGCCGTACAGTTCAATAGTGCCTAGATTCAAGAGCACTGTCTTCTGGAGGTAATCAACCATGGCAATACCATTACAGTTTCCAAAAACTACTCTGGAAAAAGAGAAGTTAAAGGAAATACAATGCTAATTAAATGTTGGTAATGTTTCACACAGATATTTTTTGCAGTTCAGCATTTAACACTTCCTAATTTTTAGGAATTATCCTAGATTACACTTATTTATAAATTTTTATTGTAGAGTGCAGTATTGATTAATTGTTCTCTTGTAAAAACATGGTGCCAAGTAGAACAGATCACTGTCAGTGTCCTTGCCAACCCATCTGACACAGAGCCTTAAGTGACACTTACTCTTGGCCGTACAGTGCCAGGTGAGGAAGAATGATGCTGATTTGCCTCTGCTGTTAGCATCATCACTATCTGCCATGACCCAAAAGGAATTCTCTCAGAAGCACAAGAAACTGATTACCTGTATGTCGCTGTGCAGCTCATGTGGACACACACAGAGACTCGATTTTAATGGATAGTTTCGAACCACTGTGATGGAATAATGGAAGAAGTGTGTAGAAAATACTTACAGGCCATATGCAGAGTTGATGGCTAAGCTGGTTATCTGTTGAGGAGGTTCTCCACTCACCCACACCAGCTGGATAACAAGCTCGATTTGGTAGCCTGGAGACTGCTTGAGAGGAGAATTTTTGACTCTGCAAAGTAAACAAAACATCGCCAGTGTCTCAATGTTTTTCCTTATGGGTTCAGAGTTCATTAAATTCTACACCATGCAGGACTTTAAAATGTTGGAAAATGGTAAAAACTTTTATCAAAAGCAAACAAAAGCAACCAGAAGAAAAAGCCATAGTGAAACTAGGAATTCACTTCTTTTGATTCACTACCTAATTAAAAGTTATTGAACAATGATCACATATTCTTAATTTTTTCAACCTCAGAACAAGGTGTAATAGTGCTATTATGCTGTATTTCCTTTAATAGATAAAGGTACTCAGTCAGTGTCTAAAGAAGAAGATGTTACACATTTTTTCAGAGTTTCCAAAAGAATTCTGATTTAGAAAACTGAAGGGGGTGAGAGGTGTATGTGGAATAAGCACAAAGAATGGGAAACAGAAGCACAATTTATTGAGATAAATGCAAATAAAAAGCTGACGATATGGCAAAACCAAAATGAAAACAAGGAAATTATTGTAATGGTACACCAATTGAATGCAGTGAACCTGGGACTGGGGGAATTGAAACTCCTGTAAAGATTTTGTTTGCATGCTGAAAAATTTACACAGAAAAGATTAGATCTTGCATTTTTTTACACAAAAAACATTGTGTAGAATAAGCTCTTGTCCCCTCAATTCCACTTATTTTACCCATTTATTCTCACTAATGGATATTTGAAATTGATATTTGAAAAGTTATTTGAAAATATTTTACATAAGTTTAGAATTTTCCAATTTTTCTGTTTAGGTGAGTTTCCTTCAGAAATACATATCTCCAACTCAGTACAATCAATACAATTTGAAAACTCTTACCCAAATAAAGCAACTCTATCAGAACTGTTTTCTGGATGGAAACACTCAAAAAAATTAAAATCTAAGTAAGTAGTAAAAGTAAAAGTTAAGTATATACTTAACTTTTTATCTCTAGATATACATTACATATTTCTTACATTCTGTTAGCAAAAGTCATGGCTCGTAAGTCACACAAGGGACTCTTGTAGGAGAGTAAAAAAAGACTTTTCAAAATCTATTTTCTCTAAAGCTCACACAAAGAAGCTTGCAGAAAAAGCTCACCATTTAAAAAGATCAAAAAACTTGTCAAAGACCTACAGTGAGAGCACTATTAGGCATCATGCAAAGTGAGGATCCATGAAAAAGGGACATTTAATTGATTCTGTTTCCAATACACAAAGTTGTTCCCTTGCAAGACTTTCAAAAAATAAATATATTTATAAGCCTAAAGAGTTAGCACTCAGCTAGCTATCTGTAAGAATTTTCATTTCTGATTTGCTTCTAAAGCTTAAGGCTCTGCAAAACTAACAGAAGAAACATATTCAGACATACTTGGTCTAAAATTAAGGAGAGCCACAAAACATCAGCTTTCCTGTTCATTTCAAGGACAATAAGATATCCAAGTGACTGAACTGCTGCTATTAAAAACTGTTTGCTCTAAGGCACCATCATCTATAGTTATACTAACATCTATGCCAAATTTTTCTAAAATCAGTTAAACCAAAAGATATGGACTTTTTTTTTTAAAGTCAGCTTAAAAAGTAAAAAAAATTGAGATTGCAATATTTATTTCTTAAAGCAGAGCTCAAATTAGATTGATCAAATCAGATACTTGGAAAACTCTGCTTTACAAAATAAAATATTTTCACCACCAGTGACATTTCTATAACAATATCACAGTACACATACTCTGACATATTCTTGCAATGTTTCAGACTCACTTGAAAGTGTAACAGAATAAACTTACTTCAAACATGGGACATTATCACGAAGTCCATCAGATGAACTGCTACTAGTAGATGGATGAGACTGGGGAACAATGGATTGGGGATTGGAGCCTGTGCCTGGAGTGGGTACAGGTGGCACCTGCTCACCGTCTGGAGTTTCAACATCATTTATTTCATATAGGAGACGCACTTCCAGCATCTGTTAATTAAAGGAAAGAAAAATATCTGTAAAGTACTGCCTTTCAAAACACTGAGTATGAAATAAATGAAGTGCAACTGAAGGTAGTAGCGATAAAAGTGACATCCAGAACTTTTCCACCTTTTGAAAGATAATAATCTAATAGACAGTGTCACAAAGGCACATGTAGTATTCAGAAATGCAGAGTCATACTATTACAGACTGAATATCTGAAGATTGCTAGAACTTGAATGTCTGATGTATTTCCCAGTTTTTAAAAATAGCAAAATAAATTAAATACTGGACCCATTTAATTATCATTCTGCTGACTACATATTTAGTTAGGAAGATGACTTGGTTTATATACTTCAGGAATGGTAAAACAGAGCTAAAGCCACACAGACTGCTAAATTTTTACTGATGTAATACTGTACACATGGTGGCTTAGTTCAGTGTTTGATGTGTTGAACTGGATCATACATTTTAAAGAACTGTAAATTCATCATGACTTTAGATTTCCTTCTTCAGCATCTGTAACAACATCAGAATTAACTGCAGTGCAGTGTAAAAGAAGTTTCCAACTGTTTTGTCATCTGCAAAATAGAACTTAACTCACAGGCTATAGAACTGTATAGTATTTTTTAAAATGTCAAAGAGTACTCTAGATTAACTCGATTTAGGCTGATTCATAAAAACTTAGAAAAAAACCTGTTCCTTAAGAAGGGAATGTACTTGTACATAAAAACACACAAAAAAACACACCCCAGGTCCTAAACTACAGCTTACAAGCGAGCAGAATAGCGGGGGGAGAATGTGTGTGTTGGAGGAAGGAGGTGAGAGAAAAAAACCCAACTACATTGCAATTAACACTTAGAACAGGCAACACTTTATAATTAAATATTATAAGTTTTTGTTCATACATTCAAATACATAAATTTGCATGTGTGTATTTCTGATTTAACAAGAAACTTCTCAACTCTTGTAATAGAATCATTGTATCTTATACAGAATAAAACAGTGACACAGCAAAGTTCTTAACAGATTTCAGGGCATGTTTGGCACATTTTTATTCTTCTAGCTCTGCATACTGCATAAGTTTTGACAGGACAGATGGTAATTATGAAGATTCAAGGGATCAACTCCGTAAAATCTTCCAAATTCCTCAACTCCATAGCTCATTCACTTCTGTTATCATTTTACCTTTGATATAGACAAGCTTTGATCCACTATTTGTTTCCATAGAATGACCAAAGAATGATTATTGGCTGAAAAGCCTCAAAATGTCACTGAAAACCATCTCTGTGTGCAATATTTACTTTTGCTGAATTTAATAATTAATTACTTTCTCTCCAAAAACCCACACCTCTGTTTCGAGTCAATTACTTTTGTCCATTTCACTAATATAATTAAAGACAAAAACAAAACAAAAAAAAAAAAACAAAGAAATTGCTAGAACAGTCTTATTATAGCTAAATCCTACCAAGTTAAAAAATGGTCATAACTCTTTACCGGAATGACTTCTGTCGTCACCTCCTGCTTGCTGAACCTGTAAATAATGACATGTGCAGAAACTCCAGCTATGCACAGCATTCTACTTTCTGGACACCATGAGATGATCTGAATAGCGTATGGATCTTCATCTACTATATCTGTGTTTGGCCTGTCATCTTTATTCCGTGATTTTTCAAATACTTTGGCTGTTTTTAGCTTATAGAGTACTTGCAGCGTTACTAGAACAAAGCAAAAGAGAAAAATCAGTTTAGATCTAAATATATAGCTAATATATTGATACAGCTAATTTTTGAATTGTATCTTCTCAACTGGAATTTCAATTCTGTGTTAGATTTTTTTGCAACTGTCTACATGCTGATTTCAAACTTCACCAGCATATTGTCTAATCAATGGCCCAAATTACTGCTATAAATACTAATCACAACATTAGGAAAACCTAAATTTCTCCTCTTTCATATTTCACTGGTTTTACCTGAATCACATTTCCCTAGTTCACCTGTAAGAATGTCTTATTAGAAAGATTCTAAAGTTTTTGAATCAGTAAGGAGGATACTTGCAATTTCTCCCTTAACAGGTTTATTTATCTGTTTCAGAAAGAAACTAAGTCTCTTTAACAGAATCTCCTTTTGACAGATCTATGCTGAATAGAATTTTTAAGCACACAATCAAGCAGGTTTGGCTTACCCCCTCTTCTCTCCCAGGTTCCACTCCCACTCCAAACCGAAATTAAAGATCTATAACACTCCAAACAGTCCTCCTCCCAGCTTTTAAACATATACATTGCATCTGCTCCCTCCCACAGCCACACACGCCTTAGCCTTTTGGAAGTTCACCAGTTTTCCACACGTTTTTAAAGACAACTGATGACGATTCCAAGATTGCTTTAAACAGCCTTTAACTACCAAGAGTAAGCTTAGTTCCAACTAGAGCAACTCAAACATCAAACTTTGTGCCATTTCTACTTTGAATTCTTGCTGCATTTTTCACTGTGAGCTGTGTAGAAAGAATATCAGAAGGCCCTTTAACTGAAGAGGAAAAATCTAAAACTGCACAGGAAAAATCTCTACTGAAAACACTTACTTGCTGACGCATCCCAAAATTTAATTGATCCATCAGCATGCCTGTGAAATATAAAAAAAAATGAGATGATGAAAAGATTAGTTGGAGTGCTCGACCTCTATGAGAAAGTACACTGTTAACATTCTATTGTTATTAGTCTGTTTAGTGACACTTTATTTTCACAATTTGTTAAAAGTTGATATTTTACCAACATGTGCTCCAATTACTTTGGACAGAAGAGACTAGAAAAACATTTGAAAGGAAATTTCCTGATGATCCCACTGTAACATATTCATTTACCATTTAAAATATTGAGGCCTACCTTACCATGCACTGCTTTTTGAAAGATGCCCTATATTAGGAGCATCACTTGTAAAGAAGATGCCTAAATATACAGTATCCCACTGTTAATGAGTCACCTAACTTGTTTATTTAGCCTTGAGTTTGAGAATCAGATGACTATATTTTTTCATGACTGTCTCAAAGTCTCTGCAATGTGTAGTACAAGGTGACAGTAATCCTGATTAGGGCTAACGAGCTGTTCTAAAACCACTTTAGTAGTCCTCTCACTTTCAGTGACATACTGCACAGTTATAAATTGAATTTCACTTATATTCCTTACAGTAAGGAACTGTCTAGTGCTAGTAAGGAACTGTCCTTACAGTAGTAAGGAACTACAGAAAGATCAGTCTCAAAATGATCAGATTTAAGTATTTGCTTGTCCTTTTGGAGATAAAAAATTGGCTTCTCTTTGAGAACTGAGCTCAATAACTACTTAATGGACCTACCATGCTTTAAAACAGTACTCAGCTATTTTCCAAAAATCAAATACTAAAAGGTAATTTTGATCCAAGATGCCCTGCAATCACAATAAATAAACAAAATAATAATAATAACAACAACAATAATAATAATAATGTTGCCTGTGAAACACCTGCTATCAATCTCTTATTACCTTCCCTTCCATATTCTGCTTTACTTTCTCAGTAACATGTCAATGAGATTATGCCAAGGAAATGTCTGGTGATCATAGTTTCATGAATCTCTCAAACCACGCATACAAAACAATATTTTACAAGAGAAACAAAACATTCCCACCTCTACTTAATGAGCTAAGAAAGTTATTAGTAGACTATGGTGTCACTTACCCTGTAATAATGATCTCTGAATAGCTCTGAGTGATCACACCCCAGTTGCCTCCACTGATAGGCCATTCCTGGAAGATTAACAAATACACTGAGGAAGAAAATATCATACAGTGCAAAGTTAAGGCAAATTACTGCAGATCCTCCCCAGACATTAGCCACACATATCCTCCCCTGCTATTAGTCACTGTCAAAGGCAGGCTGAGTCAGGTGTAGCTTTGGTCTTAGTATGGCCACTCCTGTTATTCAGAGCTTCTGGTTGTCAGTATTTTAAAACAAAAACGTGTAGTAGATGTTGTACCTTCTTGCTGTAACCTTGACGCTTCTGTCGAGCACCAACTGAATAGAGTGCAGGTATGAGATCCACAGGACAATCAGCAAAATATTCGCAACAGGTAACGGGAGACTCATGTATAGTCAAAGGATAGGGATTCTCAAAGATAGGATACCTTTAAAAGAAGAAAGAGGCTAACTGTTAATCTAGGGAAAACCTTTTTTTAAAGTGCAGAACACAAGTAAAATGCTAAGGACTAAGCTGGCATTCTTTTTGTACAGAGAAAAATACATGCACATCAAATTAGATCATGAACAAATACACTAGACAGCTTTACTGCTCATCCAGTACACTATAAAGATAGCGTAGTTCTCCAGATGGAATCTAAAGTTTGTACAGTTTTTAGAGTTTTTCTAAAACATTACTATTCCCTGTCATTTTATATTTTCAAAAGTTTACTAATTTAGTGGCCTGTGGAAAAAATTAAGCTGCCAAGTCTCAGTTGTGGCAACATGGAACTACAAATTTATTTCTAACTCTTCAGTCTATTCTTCTAGCATAGAAGAAGGAAGGCTCCCATCTCACTTGGTATTAGCACATTGTACTAAAACAGAAAGTTGTCCAGCATTTTGCATGGACAAATTTTGTTTAATCCACTTGCAACTCCAAGATCACTTTCTGAAAATTACAAATAGGAACACTCAATTACCAATTAGAAGAACATACACACCACTACCTCCATCTGAAAAGTGACAGAGGCTTAATGAGGAAAAAGGCCAATCATACTAACAGAGGTAAATGTATCTGTGTTCAAAGAACATTTATCTCCAGAGAAAAGCATGCTATACATTGTTTTCCCTTTTTTATCTCCCCTTTTTTGGTGGAGGTGAAAAGACACAGCTTCTCAACCCATCTCAAGGAAAAATTAACAACAACAGATGAAAACATCCTGTGCATCAGGAACTTTATACAGGGCTATATGGAAAGCTACAAATATATTTTAAAAATTACACTCAGAAGAGGCTTAACTTTAACTGAGAGAACACTAGGTAAAAGGAAGCCTGTAGATTCTTTTGGTATTAATTTTATTTCTTTTTCAGGTGTCAAAAACCTAATAGTTTTCAAGTAAATCATAACAAAGACCATTGTAAAAACATAAACTGCTGAAGATCTCTTAGCATGAAATAGAATAAGCTTTAACATTACTTCAAATTTCAGGCACTTCAAACTAAATATGAATGTTGACACTTCACACTATTGGTATATCAGAATCAAGTTTTGGATACAGCATACGGCCATGTAACATTTGGAAAACCTAAATGAAATTGCTAAATAGCTGCAGAGATATCAGGACAAAACTTGCTCTTACAAATTCCACAGAGTTTTCATTATCTAAGGTGTCACCATTCACTTTGAGGACAAATATTTACAGGATTTTGTTTTGCCTTAGAAGGATGTTCTTCACAAGAATTTTTCTCCATTGATCATTGGAGATTTTTAATCAGGAACAGTACCAAGGTCTTACCTAGCTCCTCTGCTCCTGATCCTTTAACAGTTAGTAGTTATTGTCCACACAAATTTCAATACCCTTCATAAAAATATTTTGTAGTGTTTAGAATTTTTAATCACCGCTAATAATAGTGTATGGACTACTCCATGGACAAAGCAATAAGAGACTCGTGATGTTTTAGGCAGGTATTATTTGTGAATACTGCAGTAGCATACTCCTTTTAAGCAATTTCTTACCCAGATGTAAACCAGAGAGTAGATGTTATCATGCAAATTTTATATATATGATATTATTGCATCAGTATGGAGTTATTTTAAGCAATACAGGTAGCAATTTATTTGGCAATAAGATCAGCAAATGTTTAAGTGACGACAACAGCCAAAATTACTTGGGTTATCTGATCAGTTCTCCCTGCTGCCCTCCTCAAAACTGCAAGATCCCCAAAACTTCAAATTTCTTCAAACTCCTGACGTATTAGGTTAGACTAAAAAGCTATAAAGCAGAACAGTAGGCTGATCACTGGAGCCAATGATTAAAAAAAAAATATTAAAATTAAAAGATTAAGAATATTCTTACCCATTTTGTGCAAGGTCAATCAGTACTAAGTCTTTTTCTAGGAGAACAACTACAGCATATGGTTCCTGAAAGTCTGAAAACAACAACAAAAGGTTACCTATTGGTAAATGGAGCCCATGCAAGCACAGCCTCAAGAAAGGAATCAATGCTTGCACTCTGGCAGCTGAGATTACAAAGTCACTTAGATTACTATAGTTTTTGAAGATATTTTATACACGCAGACTTCTCAATCATCAAGTTAAATTTGGAAAACTCATGTTCTTTTATTCAATATTCTCAACAGCTCAAATAACAGAAAAAGGAGCATGCAGAGTAAATTCTATAAGCAGTTTATATGAGTGAAAGAGCCAATTTCTGAGTAACATCCTCCCACCCCTGAACTACTTTTGCTTATATTCAGTGGAGTTTAAGTTTTACTTGCTCACAAAAGACAGCTGACTTGATAGTAAAATAAGAAACTTGAAAAAGTTTTCAAAGTTTAAATTGCCCTCTTTCAGCCAGATCTCAAATTCCAAGCTAAGTAATTTAATATACTCTGATGGTAGCTGACAGCTAAAACTATTGGAATCACCAGCAATATAATACTATTCATCTGAAATAACTACCTAAACTATGGTAAGAAATCCTCTGCTGTAAAAGAGAGATTATAGGTTAGTTTGAAATCCATCTAAATATGGGAATAATAAAGCCACTAAAAGTTTAAAATAATACAAAAACGCTCCTCATTGTTTAGCACTGACTGCAGAGGCCTTATGTGCCCAAATATGCAGAGATGCACACATCTGCTCCAGTAACTACAGCTTAAGGTTGTAATGCTTTTGGTCTGCATATGCTTTTGGGATTAAAAAGAAAAAAACATGCTATGAGTAATTGGCTTTTTTCTAGACACAAAACTGGCTTTATAATGAACTATTCTATTCATGTTTTGGCAAGTAAAACACATTTCAGACAATAGGAATAACAGATGTTGCTGCTGCAGTCTGATCCCCAGAGATAAAACAGAAAGACAATAGTAAAGAATATTCTGATGGGATAAAACTCCAACGATAAGAAGTCAAGGTACAGAGAAAAATCTTTACAGAACCTACCATTAGGATATGGAGTTTCACACAGGGTTAGAAAATCAACAATAGAATAATCCATTTCTAGCACAGCAGTACTTTTCCCATGCATGACTGTTAAACAGGGTCTTCTTCCTACAGTGTCATATGACAAGCCTCCTGAGAGAATGATGAAAGGCTCCCTGGAATAAAGCAGAAGCATTGAGGACCAAGTCAGGATAACACACTAAAAGAGACTGGGCAGGTTTTGCAACCTTATGATAAAATTCAATGAAATATCATTAAGCAGAGATGGAGTAAAAATAATGCAAACCAGCTCTCATGAAATATACAGCTTGGGTATGTATTTCAAATCTTACTCTAACTCTTGTTTAAGTCAGATATCTCCTCCAAACAGTTTGTTGACTTAACCAATCTTTATAACTTCTTGGCAAGATGAGATTTTTTTTTAAAATTGTACTAATTTAAAGTCGCTTCCTTTCTACTGAGCTGCAGATTCAGATTTGCCAACAGTCCCATTTTTCCATAACATAAAACAGGCCCAGCAAAATCAGGAAGAAACAGTCCCATTTACTTGCTGTACAGTAATATGACTGTCTTGGAGATGGAACCAACGGCTGGGTAAGCTTTAAAGACATAACATCTGTTAAGTAACTTCACACATTTACTCTAGATGTTTTATCTGCTTTTCGCCACCACCATGCACAAAATTCAAGAAACTACTTGTCATTCTTTATTCTCACTGCAAAATCAAATAGCCAAGTAGAGCAAAGCAGAGATATTTCTTCTAGTCTTGAAAAGAGTTTAGAAGCTTCCCTTGAAACTTTTTTGAAAATCCTTTGCTGAAACATATATTTAAATAAATCCAAATATTTCCAATATGCACCTAATTTAGGGTTTACTATTTCATTTATTGAAAAACAAGATGAAGTAAATATGTTTATTTTACCAGGTATTTTCTTATTTCCTGATTGTCAAGAATCCCTCATTTTAATACTGCTTATGTTTTAAATAGGACATAATCCTTTTGAGAGAGTAGAGTGACTGTAAGTATGCAGCTTACATAAATGTTACTCATTACTGACTATTGCCTGAAATTTCACATTATATTTCTGAAGGAAAAATAGGCACTTTGCATATCTATCAGTTGCCTCTGATCTACTTTTATGCTCACTTTCAGTAGAAGTTCTACCCTTCATTTGCATCTTCCTTGGAAATAGCTAGTATATAAGTATCTGGAGAAAATTGATACAGAAAAAAACCCCCACCCTGATACATTGTAAAAAGAGAGAAAACCTTTCTTTTTTTTTTTTTTTTTAATCCTTTCCTATAATATTATCTTTTTCATACTGTCTAAATGGCTTTCCATAGTTGGCATTTGAAACACAAAGTGAGACTAGATATGTCAGAATTCTTGAAAACCGTGTATTAAGGTTTGGTTTATGCTGCAGTTTGTGAGTTTAAGACTTGGCTGAGATCTACTTTGTGTTTGTAGCACTGAAGGCAAAGCAGATGAGATAAGCCTTCAGCTTCTACAAGTATTTCACAATCTGCTTGATCTTCCAGAAGACCTATGACCCAAGATTTGATAGGATCAAGGAGCACTGCTGGCTGAGGAAGAGACCTCTAAGGAACGGCCATAAATCAGACCATGGGTCCATCAAGTTCAATATCCTGCCTCCAACAGCAGCCCAGAGTGTATCTCTAAAAGAGGATTAAGTTTTCTCTGAGTATTCATTTAATCTCAGTTTTTCATATTAAAACTTCACACAATTTTTTATGGTCAGGTCCTTGAAGAAATTTCAAGAAAATTATACACTTGAACTTAGTCTGGTATTTTTCAGGATGTCAGTGAATAGAAAAATACTGGTGAGGTCTCATTGTGTTGGAATGATTTACTGCAGTATTTTTTTTGTCCATAGAAATAATTAGGTTTTTGAAACAATAATGCTGCCAGCACAATTTGTAGCAATTATCATATTTGCAGACTCACTGGGATCAACTGACATTAACAAAGTAACAAATTTCAATTTTTAATTTTCATACATCACAGTGACAGCTTCTCCAGGTTTTATTTCTCAAGGTAATCAAACTGCTTTGGGCAGGCTTGCCAGAGACAGTATCCTTTAGATGCAAGGAATGGAAGAGCTAAAAATAGAGCACACTGATCTGTCACACAGATTTTTCACAAATGACTCAAAGATTAAACCTGACTTGAGTCTGCCAGAAAGACCACTAAAAGTTTGTGTATGAATTCTTCATATTTTCATGAAACCATGGATTCACCACAAACTGTGCATTTTCTAATTAAAGTGTTGCCCTTCAGCTGTGATACATATTAAAAGGTTAGTGCACGTCAATTAGAAATACATAGTTTAAAATAAAAATGTAGAAGATTTGTACTTTGTATAATAGATGAGACTTATTCTAGAAATACATAGTTTAAAATAAAAATGTAGAAGATTTGTACTTTGTATAATAGATGAGACTTATTCAGCTTTGGGAATTACATTTTACCTACCAGAAACAATGGAAGACATTTTTAAAAACTCAGGATTCAGATCTTTTAGAATTGCTTTATAGCACTTTTTAATAGCAATTTATAGCAGCTGCTCAGGCAGAGATTCTTTGAAACAGTTCAGCTTCAACAGGTTTGCAAGTAACCCCCTTACATGAATTTTCTCATCAGTGAAATATGTAAAATCACTTGGAGAATACTACAAGAAATTGACTGTAAAAGGGGGCAACAGGTCATTGACAAAAAATTTCAGGAAACACAGGATTAGGTCTTGCAATGTATGAATACATAGTACAATTGAGAGCTGAGTGGCTCACAACCGAGGAGGGTGTCTCTGTTCAATTTTAGAAGTAAACTATAAAATGTGAGCCAGCTTCTGACAATCCAGATGTGAGAGAGAAGGGTATACAGAGAAATCAGGCCATTGGTACCATCTGGCTTACTTTTCAAACCCTGAATAAACCTATAGAGAAATTAATCCTAGTATGAAGATGGAAAAGATTTCAAGAGTTAGTTTACCTTAGTACTTGAAGCCCTGAAGTAGTAGTGAAGATAAAACTATGAATTTATTTTGGGCAGTGTGGTTTTCAATTAATAAGCTGACACAAAAAAATAGCAGTATTCAAACTAAATGAACAGATTATCAGCTTTTACTTGGTGGGAGGCCCCATCACTAATGTAACTTCGGGATCCCCATTACACACAATCATCTCACTAGAGATGACTCAGCCAGTCAATGAGAGCTGCATCAGCTACCAAGACAAAATACTTCTGAATTACGTTTTACATGGAGACTTTGGAGCTCTAATTTCTATTAGACACTGGCAATTTTACCATAATGCTAATATCAACCAGAGTAAATACAGGGCTCTGAGCCTGCACACGTATCAGGAAGGACTGAATCTGGAGGGGGAGGGAATTGCACAAGGAAGCTTGAGAGTGCCTCTAGAAGAAAAAGTACATATAAAAGCAATACGGGAAGCAGAAAGCTCCAAAGGTAAGCTACCTTTGAAATTCAGTGCTTCTGGAAAGGATAAAGTATTTGAGATGAAGAGTGGCTGCAGTACAGTGACATTATGCTCTGAGATTGCAAAATGATGTCACTTTGCACAAGGAATATACAAAGAATGTACCTTTTATCACCCCTTATTCATCAATAGCAGCCTTTCTCCCAGAAATAAAGCTACAGGCATGCTCTTGTTGTAGAGTAAGTTACTTTGGCTCTGGACACTTCACTTTTTGCACTATGCAAAAACTTAAAAACCAAACTGACCAAACAAAAAGCAACAGAAAACCCCACAAAGTCAGCAAGTAAATAGGTAGCCAATAAAGCCCAGGAAAAGCCTCATGTCCTTCTTTTGTCCTGACCCCAGTTTAACAATATGAAAAACGAAATGCAGGAAAAAAAAAGTGAGAATGAATTAAAAAGAGCTGCAACAGTAAAAAGAATAGTGCCTGTAGCCCTTAATATAGGGTACCATAGATTATTGTCCTTCCTTTTGCGTGGTTCTGAACCTCTTTTCCCAAAACCAGCTTACTAGAATTAGAAGGAGTAAAAAACCTACTTCAGATCATATCACTGACATGTTTTCCACTGGAGGAAATACTGAAACAGACATAGATCTTTGAGCACTCTGGATAGGTAAGGGAAAAACAAAAAAGGGTTGATAGAAAGATGTTCAAAATAGAGCATGGAAATAGTGAACATTTTTTCCTAATAAAGATTTGAAATATAACTTAAATAAGTAATAAATAGCATCTCTTAAATGTAAGCTTTTTTGCTTTGTTCTGATTCCTTCTGGGTTTTTTTATCATTTGTTTTTCAAGAACAGCTATCATGAACTGCCATAGAAAAAAGTTTATTTGATATGTTTCTTACATTGTTTCAGTAGCCTGAAAAATTTTGTCCTGTCCAGAAACGATTCTCCTCTGTGCTACAGAAATTAAACCATTAATAAGAAATGACAGCACTTCAGATAAAAGTTAAAATTTTGCTCATATTAAACAATTCCAAATGATAAATAGAAAATCCATCAAAAAATTAGGTATTGAAAGGTAGTTCTGTCTTGCCTTAAAATTCTTGTAAGATTACAAGAGAAACTGAAAATTGAGTACAAACTGAAGTACACACAGCAGTAAATGAAAGCAGATTCCCAGTGCACTGCTCCTCTACCACAGTGCAGATTAGTGCAATTTTCCTTGTTGCAGGTTTTTTTTTTCCCCCTCTCTTACTTAAAGTTCAGGAAGGGTTATCAATAATTCTAGATTTAATAGTACATTGAAGAGAGAAAACAATTCTACAAAATTGTAGATTTAATAGTACACTGAAAATAAAAAAAAGAAGATAGAGAGAAGAATAAATTGAAATGTATCAAAACATTCCATTTGGATAAACACCACAAACTGAGAGGCACAACAGAAAAAAAAAAAAAAAAAGCCAAACCAGGAAAAAGTAGTTTTTTGTAGAGTTATTAGAAATTATACTAGAATAAACTCCTCCTTATACCATGTGAAAAGTCAAGTAGTTTTCACATTGTAATACTATGTCACAGAACAAGCTCCAAAGTAATTGTCTCTTTCAGAATGACTATTCAGAATAAAAGAAGGCTTTTGATTGCAGGAATTGTAACTTGCCGAAGCTGAGATTTTTTATTATCTCTCTTTAAATCAGATTTTGATATTTCAGCTGAGAAAGGAGTACGCAGACAGATGTAGACTTTTGCAAGTAAAATACACTTTCCAGATGATGATAGATTTTTATAAAACTGGGAGCCGGCCACAGTTTTAAGTTTCTATTTACCTCATTTTTAGCAGAAAATAGTAATACCTAAAGCCAGTGATATTATGAGTATAGAAACACAACACTGCATTGCATCATTTAATAAACCAACTTCTACAGATTTGAATGCCTGAAAAGCAAATATAAATGGTACACAAACCCCCCAAATATAAAAGAAAACAAAGAAAGAAAAAAAAATCCACTTTTGCAAATAGCTGAACAGATTTCCATGAATATTTTATCTTAATATTGCACTTTTTACTCAAACACTTTGGAACCACAAATAAAAGAAATTCCACACAGTTCAGGAAATCCATCCACCCTAGCTGCAGTCTGGGTAACAAAACACGCTACTTTATAGATCCTATAATTGCATCTGAGCCTCTTGTTGCAATTACTGCTTTGTTACATTCTCAATATGCATAATTGGGCATATTTCACGGCATAGAAAAATGTCATGTACTAGAAAAACTTCTGTTAATAACATTTCAGGTGGAGGAACATGCATTCAAAATTAAGAATATTCAATTTGGGATACTATTTGTCAAAGTTCAATTTATCATGTCAGTGTTTTGGTGTCTTCTTTGCTTCATCAGCCTTTTTTTCTCCAGAACTCTCAAAAAACGAAGCAAAAATGCATACAAGTTTTAGTAGCATGAAAGAAGAGTGTAGATAATGAATTAGCAGCATTGTTAGTTTGTATACAGTAATTCATTCACACAAATTTTTGTATTTTATTCATCAATATCTGATTTATTAAAGCTAAAACAAAGCTGTACCATCAGAATATGCACCCCAACAACAGGGAAACAAAGTCCATTCCCAGAGTGTTGCACTGTTACATATGCTCATTTTGCATACAAAACAATTCTTACCCAGCTCTAGTTGTTTTATATTCCACCTTAAGGATAGGTTTGCAGGGTTCTGGCTTCTTTCCATCCTTCAGCTGCTTTCCTAAAGTAAATTATTTTCCTGCATTAATCTTGCAGTTCCATAACATTATGGCAAGTAATGAAATTCACTGTGCAGCTTGAGAAGTATAAAATTCACACAACATACATTCAGCAACTTTGACAGTAATAGAGTATGCCTTGGAATAATATAATTAAACATTTCTTAAAGCTCTCAACACACCAACTTTGAAGGTTTAGGAAAAACAGCAACTCCAAACCTGACTGCTATAGAAAATTTGTTTTCAAACATATAATCTTCCCCTAAAGTGCTGTTTTAAGTAGCACTAGGAGATTTAAAATTTATGTTGTGCCTACCCTTTTGCAATTAAAATTGGTCAGCTTACAAGTAAAGTGAGGTTTATCCTAAGTATTGTCCTTAAGGGCTAAGACTTCAATTGAGCATGAAAAGCCCATTCTCTCATAACTGTGCAATTATCCTTACTGATACATTCACACACATCCATCCATTTACTTAAGATGGAAGGATGTGTGTGGATGTATCAGTAAGTAAATAAGTAAATAAGTTGCAAAGACATGAAATAGAGACGTGCACATCATGTAAGCCTGGCATTTGTGTACAACTTACTAGAAGAGCAGCAGTATATTTCACAGAAGAACAACATGCAATGATAATTTCCTAGATTAACATTAATACAAGAGCACTCAGAAGTGGGAGCATCTTACCAGAGGCTATTCTTGTTCTGTTACAAACCCTCCCAAAAATTTATGTGGTAATCCACACATTTATACATAAAACATGTACTTGCTTATATGTATTTTAAACAATCTATGGGATTCTGATATGAGCAAAAAGCAAGTCCTGCAAAATATGCATTAGTTAACTCTGAGATCAGTGTAATTGTGAAAGACAAGCTTTAAGTTTAGAGAATTAGAAAAAGCTGTACTGATTTGGATTCTTATTCCATAATGATTTTTCTTTTCAAGTGAAATCCATGAGAAACTGGCATGACTGAGAAAGATTTTTACTGCATTGCAAGTACACTTTTAATACTTGTTTTTTGCAAAACACGCTTCTATTAAAAACAAGTTCTCTGTGTTTTAAGAGCTGTCAAGTGCATTGGGTATCCATTTTCACCTTACCATGTGGAGTGATCGTCTGGAATGGCTTGGTAGGAGATTTTACATTCCATATGGTCAAGGTACCATCTGAGTGACTACAAATGAATTGTTTGCCTTCATGATGCCAAGCCACAGAGTGGATAGCCTATGCAAGAGAAAGCAGAACAACATAAGCTGGGTATCTTATTATCATTTTATTCTTATACCTTCCTAAATGATATTAAACAGAAAACACCAATTAGAAAAATTACTAATTAAATAATACCTATCCTATTATGTCTTAATTTAACCACATCAAGTTTTCCAAGTTTTTTTTTTTTTTACATAAGAAGTACTTTCAGACACACTTTACCCATCAAAAATACTGTCTTCTCTGTTTAGGGGGAGCCCACCCTCCTCAGCAGAGTACTGAAGTATTCCTCCATGAAGGGTAGCATGAAGACAATAACTGCAAGCACTTATTTAAGCTTTGCTAACCAAAATTTTTCACTATTGGGAAAAACATATTGTCCAGACAAAAAATATGGGATGAGATTATTAAGTTCAAGTATTACATATTGTTTTGAGATGTTTATGTGAATGTGCACAAGAGGCAAGCATTAGGTCAAAACTTCCATAAAACACAAATTGAAGTAACAAGATTTTTTTGAAATTATGATGATGAATGCAAAGTATTAGCCTGGATGCTCTAATATTGCAATGGCAGCTTTGAGGTGCAGGAAAACACAAGAATCTACTAGTAAATCTTTCCATAAATACAAAATCATCTCTAGATTCCTAAAATTAGGAATGGAATGATTACACCATACCACATAAAAGCTACAGAAAACAGCTAAATAAATGAAATCTAGCTGCTGCCTTCAGGCAAGAGGAAAGTAAACAATGATGCAAAGAATACAAATAAGGCAAAAATATTGACTAGCAAGAAAGGATTGGTGCCATTTCTGCTTCCAGCACCTCTGTTAGTAAATGGAAACATGATGGAACCATTTAGTGATATTCAAAGTAGTTTTAGTTATAACATGAAAGTATCAGTAAGTAATGAAACCCTAAAGTATTTCTCTACTATCCAGAAGGTGCAAAAGGAACTGTTAACTGCAAGAAGTACAGAACTTTGGTATTACTGAAAAGCTAGATTTTATAATGAAGACATTACTAAGCTAGAAAAGCAGGTGCTGAATAAGTGAAAACTGATGGATTTCACCCTCAGTGGGTACCTTCAGTAGTGATTCTGTCTGTAAAAGGGCTTACACTCACTCCTGCTCTGCAGGGACCTTGGGATTTCCTCTGTGAGGAAACCTGGGTGTGTGAGCAGCAGAGAAATGTGACCAGCAATGACAACCTAAGCAGCAATTACTGGGTGAAGAGCACATCTCAGGACAGATCCAAGTGAGCTTTGCTCAACCTGATTATACACAGATCAGGTCTTCATATTTCATGAAGTTATACAGAGGGACAAGACAGGTTCCAGCAAACTGAATGGGAGAATCCAGAGCTTAAATGACAGAGGAAAATGGCTATGCTACATGAGTCTAGAGTCTCCAATAAAAATTTCCCCAATATAAACTAATATAACATCTGGATATATGTAAACTACATATTAAGTTTAGCATTTCTTTGTGAAATTTAATATTGCTCCCTATGTATTGTGGAATCACTACAGATTTTTTTAAGACAGATTTTGTGTACCAGTATGACATTTACGCATGTAGCTCAGAAACAAACCTACATGCCTCACATGATGTCTCCTACTATCAAAGTGAAATACTCTCGCTCATTCTGCCTGTCAAATAAATTTTTATATAGCAAAAACTGGTATTATAAAAGAAATCTTGCATAAATATTGAGTTTTTATTTACCAACATCATACCAAATAAAGCAAAGGGTCAACAATTTTGAGCGTGCAGACTCAGTAAAGAGAATGCTGCATTTAAAAAAGCTCATCACTGACAAAATAAATGTCTACAGCAGGCTTAGCAATACAATATATTCAGTACATTTTAAATAATCTTCCATATGAAGCCTAACCTTGACAACAGTAGGCAGCCCATAGTGTAAATGAAACAGTTTGATCCACATTTATGTAGAAATAGGTCTTAAAAACTATCTCTACAGTAGGAGAGCAAGTTTCACAAAAGGAAGCAAGAAAAATCTGAGAAATGATCACTTCTTTCCTTTCTTGAAAGAGATGTCAAGAGAAGGGAAATGCAACAACTTGTTACTCTTGAAACAGCAATAATGCTTAAGAAGATAAAAAGATCTGAGCACAGAGGAGAAGAATGATTGCTCTCACTTTCTGCAAGGAACATGGAGGTTAAAAAAAACAAACCTCTGAAAGAGAACAACAAGCCTTTTGGCTTTATGGCTATTTACTGCCTAGTTTTAGTCTCTTTAGTTTTAGAGTCACTTGTTATATTTAGTAATGCAGCTAAATATTTTTAAAATATAACTGAAAAATATGCTTTATGTTTTTTTAAATAATCCAACTAACACCTCTGTGGGCTGATAAACTTTTGCATAGAGCAATATCCTTTGCAATCACACAATTCACAAATTCTTGTTAGCCTAAAAAATAAAAATCAACTTCATAAGTAGCTCCAGCACTATCTCAAGGTACACAACAAGCTGGCCTAGTGACAAGAAAGTTATAATGAAAAGAGTGCAATAACCTTAAGTAGTACTAGTTAGCTGATAGCACCAGCAAGCATCTCAATCTCCAAAACAAAACTGATATCTGAAAAATCATCTCTATACACAAGAGCAAAGAAGTTTTAACATTTTCCAGAGTTAATATTAGTGCTGGAATCTGGAGGAATGCATAAAATAGAAAAATGAAGCAGAATCCACTGAGTCTGCAAAACAAATTTTCTAAGACACTAAAGAGCCACTAGGAGTAGTATATTATTTTACACTAAACTTACTGATGCAGAATAAAACATTATGTTTTAATCTTAATTCTCACCATGATTAAAACTTCCTGTTTTCTTTTTGGTACCATAATGCAGCAGCATGCTTATATCAGCTGGTGCAGATTTAACTGTGTCACAAATAATTTCTGGTCACATGGGACCAGAAAGTAACCCCTTATAACAAGATCATACCCAAGTATCACAGATGATTGTTGTATTTAAGGCATTTTTATCCATTATTGGAGTTGTCTGCACAGGTAAACCGAGTCCTGACCTAACTTTCATTCTGAGTCCTTCCATTTATGAACATGAACCAAATTCAGGGAACCTTAACAGAAACTCAAACAGAAAGAACTCCAAGAAAAAGGTAACCAACTTTGTCTAGATAAAACTTTATATTTAATTAATTACCACTGAAGGTTTCCTATTAGAAATATTCCTACTATCCCCTTCATTTACTTCAAATTTAAGGTACTTGTTCTGGACTCTAGGGAAGTTTGTTTCAAGACTTCTGAGACAGTTATGTATTTTCTGGGGAAGTGGGGAATTGAATCTTACTTTTTTGACTAACAACACAATTGATTTTGCTGTCCTACATATGCCTAAACTTTATTAGAAATTGTAGAATCTATCCCTGAGTTTTATGTAGAGACAGGCTGTACTCAAACACAAAATCAATTCACCATCTCTTCCAGAAAGATGATCCCATGTGGAAAAATTACTGCTATGCTGCCTGCAAAGAAGGTGAGTATACCTGATTTTAAGACAGAAACATTTTTGCAGCTACTGCAGCAGTTAACTGAGGGAGACTTAGCAATCACAAATAAACCAAAAAAAGCCTGAGGAACAAAATTAAAAGCATTTATATGCAAGACTCCTACAGAAATACCTTAAGTATATCACTAGCTTTTCAAGAGATTATTGCATACTTAAAAACATTTTGCGAAATTTATTTTCTTCTGCAATAGCTTGTAAATATCCCTGGAAATAACTATTAGTTCTTGGTACTTTTAGGAAGTACAAAAATGAATAATTTAAATGCAACCTTGCAATTTAAGAGACAAGTTCATCAATAAAGACTGAAGCTTTTATGGTATTTTTCCACCAGGGAAGTTTAGCTGTTTCAATTCATTAAATACTGATACAAATAATCCCATTATTTTAAATTCATACATATTTTAGCCACATGCATATGATTTTGGAACATTTTGAGACCACACTTCTCATCTTTATGATTTAACCCCAGGCAGAAACCAGGCACCACAGTGCTGTTCACTCACCAGTGGGATGCGGGGTAGAATAAAAAAAAAAGGTACAACTCATGGGTTGAGGTAAGAACAGTATAATAATTCAATAAAAAGAAGTTTTCAGAACAACTAAAACATCAGTGTGTTATCCAAATTATTCATAGTGAATCTAAACACACAACTCTTTGGTAGGTACTAGAAAGAAAATTAAACCTATTCCAGCCAAAACCAGAACAGCGCGTGGAGGATTTCAATGATGTAAACACAAAAGTTATTAATTTAAGCAGTTTACCCTGTTTTCAAGAGAAATATTTTAATCCAGTTTTCTAACACCAAATTTAGACTACTGCAAATATAGAATACACTAGAGACATTGATAAGTCCTTTCATAATTCCTTGGATTTCTCAATGATCCTTTACTCTTGCGACATTAATTGAGCTTGAAATACACTGTGCATGACTGGCAAAGCCCATGATTAGTTATTCTGCAAACCAGCCTGGTTATTTACCATATCTTATCCAGATTTCAAAGCCTTATTATGACAGTCCTTTAATTTCCAAGGATATGGGCAGCATTTTTGCTTAACATGAATGGATGATACTGACTCCTTTTCTACCGGTTCACCAAAATATACAAAGAAAGTATTTTAAACCTATGCTAACTCTCTTGTCAACAACCTAAGGAAGGGAAAAAATGTGGTGAAAGGAAGAAAACAAACAAAAAAAAGTAGCTAATGAGACTTAATTGACAATACAACATGAAGATTGTTTTGATGAAATGAAATACATTGACACACTTTGGTTTCTGGCAAGTCACATACTGGGGTTGTTTCGCTTTCTCCTGTCCTCTTAATTCCACAAGCTACTTTGACATGTTTTTAATGCTCTAAAATAATCTCTTACACTCAACCATGTACCAGAACAGTGAGTCTAAAAATAGTAATCTATAATGCATTATAGTTAATGCTGTCAAATCTTACTTGACATCAGAACAAACAAAATATTACTTGAAGAACAGACTTGATTATAAAACAAGCTTTAGTTTTCAGAAGTTACAGTTGAGGGATTTGGGGGTTTTTTTTAGGAAAAAAATACTTGAGAAATTTGTTTAATTTCTTTCATGAACATACAGGTTGGGAAATGACTGCAATATAAACTGTATTTCACACAGAAATGCACAGCGTACTTTCCTTAAATCCCCAATGTCCGCATATAAAAGGCTTAAGAATGATGCAAAAGGAATTTAGTCTTACTGTTTCATTGAGCCTGCCCAAGACAAAAGGGATGTTTTGAGTAAAAGGTTTCAAAGAAATTTCCTAAACAAAAGTTCATTTGCAAGTTACAGTTCCATTATGTACAATTAATTTCCTCCAAATTCTCTGAAAAAGAATGTTACACTTGTGCATTATTCTGAGTAATTTTAAATATTCAAAGTATTGCTGTTATAATAAAAAATATGCATTACTTTAAGTTCAGGATTTAATTCATAATATAGAAAGATCAACTACAAATTATAGCTAAATTCTTTGAATTTTCCTGTAAGTAGAATGTTCTGGAGGGAAGAACATGCCAGCAATCAGCAGTAACCCTAATCATGACCTAGAGCTGCTTCCCTCAGCCATGGTTAATGCCACCCACCTGCTCCTGTCCTTGGGGTGAGTGTCTTAGGGTCCTTGTGCTGCAGCTGTTTGCCCTGGGTGCTGGGAAGGCACACATGTTCAGAGAGGAAGAAAGTGTGCAGAGTTCCATTAACCTGGCTTTCAGGCAGCAAATGAGACTGCCCTACCACAACATGGGAATTTGCTTCAAGAAAGCCTCCTAAAGGTCAGGCCATTTGAAATAAAACCAAGCAGGAAGCTACAAACCCGTATAATTGGATTCAACATTTTCCCTCAGGAAATAACAGGTATCTTCCCACAGACCTCTGGACACGCCAAGATTTTGACCCTCATTAAGATCTTCTTCCTCTGCTAAGGAAGAAAGGATGACATTTGGATCCCTGCACACATCTGAAATTTTGAGTTAAGAAAGTTGCATCAAGTGATGGTGAAAGACCTTCCAGTTGCATGCTTTAAGAATAATATCAACTACAAAGCAATGAGAGAAGAGGAAACCAATGCAATGGCAAAGTTTCCAGCAAATGTTCTTTATGGTATCAATGTCCTGGCCACCCTGCTCATGATCCCTGGGGAAGCCTAGCCACCCACTAAGATGGCAAATGTGACAAGATTGGACTAAGTAGCTCTCTTCTTACTGGTTGTCAACTCCTCACTCAGAAGAGCTCTCATCAAGAACAAGCAGAGAACCAAGCGCATAAATCCTGAGGCTTCAATTCCTGCTCCTGCGATGGGGCAGAATGTCACATGCATTACCGTCAGTGAGAGAAGAGGTGAAGCATGTTGTGACATGAGATGCTCCCTGTCCCTTGAGGGTAGGTTGGCACACATGTTCGTGATGGAACACAGCCCTTACAGTCAGTGTATGAAAGAAGCTCTCTAACAACACCATGAAACCAGGAAATCAAGAAGAAGCTGGCCAGAAAGATTCTCTGCACAGAAATGTCCAAATTCACACAGTTTGTTAGCAGGAAACAAAATGGCCAAGAACTTTGCTCTGTGTCACAGTAACCAGAGACAGAGGAGATCTCTTGAGACAGGGCACTGCTCCACTCTGAGTCTTCTGTGTGCCCACTCCCATGAGCAAGGAAACCACTACATTACCAGATTGTCACTTTTTTCTCTTCCCTTCCTAACCATTCCCAAGTTAAGATAAACACACTTCTTTACTGGGTCTGACCTGAGGTATTTCATTACTTCTTCTGCAAAAAAAACCCCTCAAACTGAAGATCTAGATGCATTCACTTCTGAATCCTAAAGAAATTCAAAGATTTAACACCTGAACTATTCACTGATCTCTGCAGCCTCTCAAGTCAGAATTGGTTCCAAAAAGTACTGAGACAGATATTAATTTTTAAATAAATGGACCACAAGAAAAAAAAAAAACCAAAACCAAACAGAATCAGAATAAGCAGCATGGTGTCGACCTTAGGTAAGTTTCTAGAAACTGCAACAAAAATTTAATAAAGAATAGAGTTAATTGACATATGGATGAGTATAATACACAGATAGAAGTAGTCAACATGCTAAATACCTCTCAACATGAGAGGTAATTGTAGTCAAACCTCCAAGAATGGTAACAGGCATGAGGTTCATGGAAACACCACTTAAGCTGTCTACAAAATTTTCAAAGTCCTTGAGCAATGTATCTCAAAGGAAGCTAAAACTAAACAGATTAGATAGCTTTGAACAAGTAAATAACTGGTTAAGGAAGTAAAGCAATCTGGAGTAAAGACAGGCTGGCACTAATTGATTAGTTCATGGATGAAGTTAAATGGCGGAGACCCTCAGGGATCTCATCTGCTCAGTTTATTCATAAGCAACTTGGAAAATTAGAACAACAATATTAAGACAGTAAAGTCTGCTGACAGTACCAAACCACACTCAAAGCAGAAATCAGGATTTCAGTGAAAAACTGCCGAAAAACTTCAATTTTTACTGTCCAACTATGTCAATAAAAAACAATGCCTAATTGTCAGGACTTTGACCTGACAAGTGACACCTGAAGAACAAGTCTCTGGTTTTACAGTTGGGTGTTTCAAGGAAGCATCTGCTTTATGCTTGCAGCATCAAAAGGCTAATCCAATATCAAGATCAAGAGAGAAAGAAAGCAAGGCCAAAGACGATTATTCCACATGACAAATCCAGTGTGCCCACATCTTCATATAAACTATGCTGCTGTGCTTCTGTTTTACAAAACAAAGATAAAATAGAATGGTTTAAAAAGTTAGGGAAGAACACAACAAGTAAGAGGTCTAGGAAGAAAAAGATGATAAAGACATGAGTAAATTTATAAAAAAAAAATATAAAGGGAATTAATTAGGTTCATGCAATGAAAATGGAAGGGAGAAAGATTGCTCTTTCCATAACACATTCTGGGGCTTATATGGACATTTCTGATGATCTAAGGCTTAGACTACTTCAGAGCCTCCTCCTCCAAGCAAACTCTTGACTGGTAGAATACACAGAAGTACAAGTACTGAGCCAGAACTGCCACCAAAAAAACCCAACAACCCTGTCCCCCTTCCCCAACAAAAACCCTAAAGCTGGTACTGAACAATGACAAAGCTATTTTACAGTTAACAAAATGCAATCAAGACCAATTTTATATTATTTTAAATTAAATACATCAACTTTTATCTTATGCTGACTCATTTTTCTTAATCTCAGTTGTTCAAAAAGTCTGTTCTGTCAAGAATCAAGTTTTAAAGAAATGAATGGCATCTAATACCACTGTTTTTTTAAACCTCCCCCAGTCTTATTTCAAAGAGAATTGATCATGATCTTACTCTACAGAGAAAAGGTGGTTAGAGAAATGTTGTAGTGAGACTATTTATTTCGTGCTTTTTCCCCTACCCTTTTCTCTCACAGTTCCCAGAATATGTGAGAGATTCCAAATTACAGAAATTGATAAACCATCTTCTTTCAACTTAAGCCCTTAACACAGGTGAAAGTCACGATTAACAGAAATAAGATCTAAAAGCTTAGTGAAGAAATCCAATCCATGCCACCATTTACACACTTAAACTCAGTGAAGTTGTTTGGTCTGAAGTTTATGATCCAAGCCCTACTGCTCTTTTAGAGAAAACTTCCAGTACTTGCAATTTCAAAGAGACCTACTTATTGATCCACTGGTGACAGAAGCAGGAGATTAAAAAATAATAAAAGTCACTATTTGAGTAGGGAATTATATGCTCAGAGTAAGTAATGCAGATGAAAAATGTTACCTCATCATGTGTATATCTGTAATCTGCCTTCTTTGACTTCAGGTCCCATAATACCACCGTCCCAGATTCAAAGCCAATCAGAAGCTGCAATAAGAAAATACATTAATTCTTTATAAGGAAAATCAAAATGATATCATTTGCCATCCTGAGGTTCTTGTCCAAAAAGACATGCAGCATAATAGTACATGTAGTAACAGCAAGTAGTTATAAAAACAAAAATTAAAGAGGCAAAGGCCTCAACATTAGAAAGGTTTACTTTGTTTTTATTGGCCTCAAGTTCCAGAAAATATAATGGACATTCATGCAAAACTAGAAAATAATCAAAGTATCCTTCTGAAGTTTCCTTGGAAATCACTTTGAGTTGCAGAAAGATCTATATTAACCCTTGCTATGCATATTCCACCCTGAGTGAAAATAGGGGGTGTTGAAAAGGACAACTTCATTGTGCATTTCCCTCACTGCAATTCATTCTGCTTACATTTGCTGGAAGAATACAACATTCCCCCTGAAGTTCTCAGTAAGAATTCATTGTCTATTAAGAAACTATATACTATGACGTTTCTCCAGAAGTTAATCACAATTGAGATAACTGGCTGAAGGAACCTCAAAAACATTATTTGTTCATAGGAAAAAAGCTAGATAAACTAAACTAGATAATTTCCCAAATAATCCTTTTGCAAGAAGCAAGTTTAAATCTTTACTGCAGGGAGTGAAGACTCAAATTGCTCATAACAATTGTTCTAACACACCATTGACTATTTAAGTGTTTCAGTCTCCTAACTTTACTGCTACTTCTCTTAATGGAAAAAAAAGACATAAACCATGTCCAACATAAGGCAGTAGGAAAAATGCAGTGCCACACCTAAAGGTTTTGCCTGGACAGTGTTTTCAGAATGTTAAGATTTTCAAAGTATGTCTCCAGTACTAATAGATGTCCTATAAGCTCACAAATAAAATATTTCATCTCTTTCAGTGCTATACAGCACTAAAATATCATAAATATTAGACATGTTTGATCTAGTAGAAGTGAATATTCAATTTTTCCCATTAACATTATGTGTGTGTAGACAAGATTATTTTAAAATGATTATATGTCATATACTATAATTTTTCTATTTTAACTTAAAACATTAGAAAATCCACTGTGATTAGAAGGCTAAAAGCATGAACACATTTTAAAAGTGTGTACACAGGGGATTTTTGCAACTACACGGGGCTTTTTTAGTAATGTTTTCCTTACAAGAAATAAGAAAAGCATAAGGTCAAGATCTCAAAACACTTATTTATAGCCTGATGAATAAAACCAGTAATTTTTAAACTTTAATTGACAATAATTGGATGTGGGGTGAAATACATCAAAGTTAATTGATCACTTGTATTTCCTGAAATTACAACAGCTTCATTGCATTCATATGCTACAGTCCATAAGCCTGGAATGTGATTCAAACCTAATTCTACAGAGAAATCCATTAGTTATGCACTTACTGCAGTGAGCATCATACTAATAAAAAATACTCTACTCATTAAATTCTCTGCTGGATTGAAACCTCAGGTGTTTAGGGTACAAGCTGATAACAAGCTAAAGCTTTCAAACCACTGCTAAGACAGTGGGATCATTCCCTCTCTCCAATTTGATCTACTGCTGACATGAAAAACACAATGCAGACAAAAAATATTCCTCCAGCCTATGTAGAGCACTAGTAAGCAAAATTGTATGTCACAAGACAAGGACTCCTGTCTTGCAAGGGCTTCAAGAACATTCACTGTAAAACTTCTTTTAAGATGAATAGAAGATTATGTTAATACTATCTCATAAGAACAAAACTACAAGTCTAATACATAGATCTTTCTCACATATTTTGGTTTATTTTTCTGAAATATCTTGTTTTTCTGTAGGCCAGTTTCATCAGCAAACAGCATCTAGTGATCATATTAAATGGCCTAATATGGGAGTATGAGTTAGATGCCAAATTCCACAAAACCCTCAGATTAGTTAATCTAAAGACAAAGTACATGGTATTCTATAAAAATATGCTATATAAATAAGCATATAAAAGTTGTGAAATAACACACAAGAGCACGATAAAGTGGAATTAATTTCTATCACACTTTAAGCATTCTGGTTATGATTGATTGATGGTTTTTTTGTAACATCTTCATTTTTATCACCATAAGTAAAATTCTCTGCTTTTATTTCCAAATGTTTTGCAGCTAATTATTTTCATCTCTGTTTTCAAATTACAAGATGATTTATTCCAGTAATGTGTCCTACACTCATGTCTGTACTTGGTTTTATGTTACTTTCAATGAAGTAACTTTATGTTACTTACAAAAAAGGCCTAAAGCCTTTGTTGTTCTTCATATACTTAATCCTTCCTTAAATAGCAGTGGTATGTAAACTTTAAAAAAGTCTTGGTGTGAAAATAATGTACTGAAGAGTCTTTAAAATATCCTACCTTTCCTTCATCCATTGGATTGTCACTAATGTGGACAACAGGTCCTGGGTGAGATTTGGATGACCTGAAAAAGAAACATTTACATTAAAAAGAATTGTCCCCTGCCCTAAATGGCATCTCAAAATGATTTGAAGTAATACAGATTCTGCAGATACAGGCTCCACATAAGCAAGTTGTGACATTTCAAAATGGAGTTACTTTCACTTTTATCTTCAAGCCCATAAATACTGTGTCTGTTTGTAGACATTTAGTTTCTGTCTTGAGGAAAGACTAATTTATTGCCTATCAACAACAACAACATAAAAAACCCACCAATTAACCAAACAAAACAAACACATTAACTTTAAACATTTTATCTTAATATCTGTTGTTACAGAATTGACACTGTAGGACCAAATGTTTACTTTTACACTGGAATACAGGTTTTGCCATTATTTGTAAACTGCCCAAGATGGCCATTGTTACAATAACACAGAATTAACACTTTATGTGGACTTCCTGCTACTGAAGAAGATGGACTAATACAGAGCTGTGTTTGCTTCAACACCTTTTGGCAAGTGACAGACTTTATGTATTTTGGAAAGAAGATGTACTTGGAACAAAACACCAATCCTTTGTTTGGTCTGAAGTTTAAGAAAAGAAAGAGCAGCACACAACTACATCTTTCTCCCACTAACCACTACATTTGTACATACAATTTTAACATTGAAAAAAGGAGATGTAGTGGCAATAGCTATAAAATGTATTTTGGTCTTGGAATAGACTTATTTAAATTTGCATTTCAGAAAGTCTCTTCCAATTCAGAATATATCAGCCCTCTTAAAAAATGCATTATCTTTACACTTTGGTCTTTAATCCCCAACTGCAGAAGCAACATGTCTGTCCAAGTACCAGCCACACCATATTTTAATGTATATTATTTTTTCTTCTGCTTTATCCCAACACATAGAGATTTTTAAATCTATTTCTATACTGTCTATTTTGTCTATTTCCATGTCTATCCCAGGAGCTATGATAAAATACTGCTAAATTGAAGAAACATATATTAACATCAGCACCTCATATTCTTAAAAATAAAAATATCTACATGACTATGCACTTTGACAGTGTATGTAGTGCAGTAAGATGAATATGGAGGCCTCTCTTGAAAACAATGACATTCCTGCAACTGATGTTAACAACAGCTGGGACATTGCTGTTCCCTCCCTTCCACAGACAAAAATTGGTTAAACTCACAGTTCAATGGCTTTATTCCACATGATGACATAGCCTGAGAGAGTAAATGATTCCACATTGACAATGTGAATGTTTCCTCTTTCAGTGCCCACATACAGCCATTTGCTTTGGAAAGGTAGGTGACAAAATGTTATCCTGAAAGAGAAAGCCACCAAAAAGGAATTAAAGAAATGTCTTTTTGATATCCTACATTGCAAAGTCTATGCTACCAAAAGGTAGAAATAAGGCAACAGGCAAACAGCAATTTGTAGACAAGTTTGAGGTAAAGTAGAGAAGCCAGTACATGACCAAAGTAAGAGATAACCAGACAAAGTAGAACCTTAGGCTGAACAAAAAATAGAAAGCAAGGTATTCTAAAACTCATAAATCATTAAAAAAAAAGAAAAAAAGAAATTACAGTCACCTTTAAAAATTTATTGAAGATATTTGATTGCTGTCATGTCAAACTTAAATTACAATGTTCCTATAGTCTCTGAATCTCCCTTTGGAATCTATCTACTTTCAAGTTTTAAAGAACAAGGGATTTTAGAAGTTTTCAGATGCAGATAAGGTTGATTTCAAGTAAGGAGACAGACAAAAGATATAACTCAAGAAAAGTAAGTTCACATGTCATCTAAATTAATGCCAAAAGAGCAAACCTTAGAATAATCCTAAACAATTATAAAAGTAATTTTAAAAGTAGTTTAAATTTCAGGCTGCAGCTTTACTTCAATCATATTTTCATTTTCTGCCTTTTAGTCTTTTCTTCTGCCAGAAAGGTGTACCTGCACAAGACTCAACAGCTACCAACTGTATGTACCAGCAGAGGACTCCTCTTTGACTGTAGCTCCAACCCAAATACTAGCATTTGAAAACCTGATTATTTGTGCACCCTTGGGTCCTGATTACTGTTGACTATTTCTTCAAGATAAGGAAATAATATCTGAACAAACTGACAGAATGCTAACTTGAAATTGGAGTCTAGAAACTTTCTGAAACCTCTAAACCATTTTAATCTGACAGGGTCTGACATTGAAAGAAATTGCCAGATTACTTAGCTATCAAACTTGGGCTTTCAGAAATGTTTTAGTGATAAGGTAAAACAATTATTCAACAAGAATTTGTTCTGTCGGCTCTAATCCTCAGCTTCACAATTTTTAATGTTCTTGTTTTCTCCCAATTAGGTTGCTTATTGCCAAATCCATGCATCACTTCACAAACCTGTTAAGTATTTATGCAAAGAACAGCTTTAGATCCTTTGCATTAGATGCTTCATACGCACACCAATTTCAGTTGAAAGGAAAATCTAACAGCAGGAAAGAGAGAAATTGCTGTGGCTGAAGAGATGTTAATTTGCACTGCAGGTTTCAAAAGTAAAAACTTCTGTAGTGATATTACCTGGATTCAGATTCAGATACCCCTGGATCGTGGGTTTTTTTCACTTGTTTCTCCCTAATTAGGAAATTGACTTTGCTCAAGCAAATACTAATCTATCTGCTTTCCAACTCAATTTCTAATCCTTGAACATTTATGCCAAAATAAAAGACTGCATTAACTTTTTCACTGACATTTGACAGAAAAAAAAAATACTACATCCATGATTTAAAATGCCCTTCCAACTCAACTTGCAGATGTTGTAACACATTTAACAAGGAATACTAATCTGCAACCACCACAGGTTGAAAACTTGTGTTTCCCCAACATCCTTTAAAAAAGAGGATTTTGATGGAAGCTAAATCACAGACATTGGTACACATTCTTCCTAGGCAGGCAGAATGAAAAGATAAACATAAACCTTCAGCACTCTGGAACACAACAGCAGCTTTTTGTGCCAGCACTTCACATGCCAGAAGCAGCTGGCAACCACATCAGTTGGATCCAAAATCATGGCCTAGCAGCCAGAAAAAATAATCAGTAGCAGGGTTGTAGTCTTGCCTTGATTATCAAGTTAATATTGTTAATTACAATTGTCCAATGCTTTGGTTATGAAAACCAATCTATTTCACATCATTTGAAGTGGGCAAAAATAAAAGTTTGGCCTTCAGTTTTGACTGTTATAGCCCAAGGGCAACATTTAAAGTAGCTCCTCAATATTCTTGATACATTTCTTGAATACACAGGGATTTTCAATTTACTGTCTCCTTTGTGCAACTGAGATTAATTTTGTCAAGAGTTAGCAAACAATGAACTGATTCAATGTTAATAGCAAATGAAGAGAACAAATAGCTTCACAAAATATTTACAAACTCTCAAAGGCAGGAGGTTGAAAAGACTTCAAAATTGAAAGAATAGGCACATAACAGAGTTCTTAACTTTATTTGTAAAAGTATTTTACCATTCTTCTACAGACTTGTGTGATTTGTCTATAAACTAAGAAATATTACTAGGTCTTTTATTTCACAGAAAAACTTGTTAAATCCAAAAGGAATGGCATGATGATCCTGCTATAAGAACCGAGATTTCTCCCTGAATGTAGTAAATGTTATTCATTTGCAAATAAAAAAAAATACTATTTCATTTTCTTAATAGAAAAACTGTATGTCTTCCAACTTTCAGAACTCCACTATATTTTGACTTAATGACTCATTTCAGATAACTGCATTTATTTTAAAAATTTAGAGAATAATATTTCCAACATCAAAGTTCATGCATTGAGCTTTCCGCCTCACTAATTAAGGCTTCACCTTAAGCTATGTATACTTTAAAAAACTTTGGAAGTGTTACAGCCCTCTTAAAAACTAAAAATCAGTGAAGCTAGGACCATCTGAATGGCCTGAGCAGCCTTGTTAGTTCTGCTGAGAATTAGACTGATGTTTGAAGGGACTCAGACTCCTTTTGGAGGATGGAAGCAAAAGGTTAGAGTCTTCTTGGTAGTGATGCAATATCTGCTTATTGCATCACTTGGCCACAGACAGCATTTTTTTGTTCTGAAAAATTAAGATTTTTCTTTCAGAAATCTATCTCTTTGCCACCAGATTAGAATATGCTTCATCCATAATGTATTTTAAGATCAAGAGAAGCAGAATTGGCCATATAATCCTCTAGCCATTTCTACAACTCGAGCAGTCTTCCCCCTCTCTCCCTACCATTTGTGAATGGATATATATATAAAAGTGGAAAATGCAATCAATTGTTGAGAACACATCAAAAACACTACAGATGAAAAAATTTCATGCTTCTCTTTCTTGCACACAAACCCCAACTGCCCGAGAACAATGCAGCAGTCAAAAGTAGACTGCCATACTGCTCTCCTGTAGGAAGCCATTCTGCCCAAAAGTACTAAAATAGAAGCATCTCTGATTTAAAACCGTCCAGTGCTGTAGATCTAAAGCGACAGCCTGGGATTGTTGGAGCCAGCAGCCACAGAAAGCAGGCTTTTGCAGGCAGCTCTTTCATGGCACAACAGATTCCTCATGTTGTCTCCAAGGCAATTTCAGCTCCCTCAGTAAGTGTAGTCCATTTTGTGAAACAGACCAAAGTTTTAGCATAAAACAGTACAGGGCACAGCATGTCATTTCAAATATTTCACTTCCCCATATCTTCACAAAGAGAAAGATCCCTTCATAGAAAAAAAAATGCTTTAAGGAGATTTATCTTTTCAATGTGAAATCTACAGTAAGACTTTAGCATAAACTAACATCACCACTAAAATGAGGCACTGTTATACAACCCCAAAGCAGTCAGGGTAGCTTTAAATTCTCCTGTAGCTGTAATTTACTGTAAGCACAAAATCTTCATCCTCACCACACACATATTTGCAAAGCTGCTCCCTCCCCACTGCTCAAAAAAAAAAAAAAAATACGAACCCAAGACTTTTCTTTCTTGCAAAATTAATTTGTAACAGTTGAACCAATAGTTCAAGAAAACAAAATTTCATACAGAAAAGCAAGTGACACACCCACAGGGGAAAACAATGATAAAATATTTTCTGTTCTTACACTAATTAAAAATAATTTAGAATATTGCTTATGGGAGAGTCTTAGAAATGATGGGAAATTCTTCAATAAGTGTTTTTTTAACCGGCTGAAAGGATTCCCTTTCTTTACTGCAGACTATGTATCTTTTCTGATAATCTGTCAAAGATATTAAAAAACATCTTAATTGCTGCTGTTTCACATCATATATCAAAACAATTAATTCAGCAAGTGATAATACTCCCTACAGGAATTTAATTACAGAAATATTAAAGAACACAACTTATTACATTAATATATTATTCAAAGAATTAGTTTTTTAAGAGGAAATACTAAGGAAAAATGGCAGGCTGTTAACTAGACTGTATTATTATGACAGCAGAAATCCTTCTAAATTAATCTTTACCTTTTCCTAGTCTACTGCATTATGAAGCATTATACATACTTCAGAGTTTTTCACTGCTTAACAAAGCACAGTGACAAACACTTTGAAGTATGACAAGCACTGATAACAGGTTTTATTGTTAAGTCACTAAAATATTTCTAGTGCCTCGGCCTATCATTATCGGTCTGCAGTAACTATAAGCACACAGCTGCTCAGATCATTAGTGTATAGGCAAAATAAAAGCAAAAGATTAAGCTATCAAAGCTGTATTCTGTACACCTTTCTCCTCAACCTTTCATGTATGAGATAGCACTGCGTAAAATTCAGAAGCTGAGAAGTTTAATTCTGATGTTAGTGTAGAGTCCAAATCCATGGACTCTTGTCAAAGTCCTCCATGGTCTTTGAAAGTCAAAAGCCAGTGTCAAAATGACAGTCTGATGGAAGCAAGCAGTAGTTTTGATACCACCTGACTGTTGCAAAATGGTATTTTTCCACATCTGATAACTTCAATAAGCTTAGAACATCTACCAATACAAAAAAGGCCTCAAAGACCAGCAGGCATAAGCAGAGGAAGATGCATCCCAAAGAATTTGCTTTTCAATGCATCCCAAAATGTCCCACCAAAAAAACATGTGGGCAAATGTGGTAGGAACTGAAGCAGGTACTCCATTTCCATTTATATGCCCAACAGCACTCCAAATGTTGCTTCCCCAGATCCACTGACTTGAACTGCTGTCTCTTCAGGCAGCGGAGAAGCACCTGTGTTCAGCATCTGAGTTGTGGTGAACATCAGGGGTGCCAAAATGGAGTAAGCATGTGTCAGAGCAAGATACTCAACTGTCTTGGGAAGACACAAA